GGCCGGGTCGGCTCCTCCTGGCCCACATTAAGTCAAACGTCTGGAACGGGAAAAGCGAAGGACGCCAGGGCTCTCTGGTTCCAAACCCAGTGAGTACACTGGGACGGGGACGAGGCGGTGCTGGCACACGGGGGCCAAAGAATGAGATGTGAGGTGGAAGGGCAGGTGCCAGGGTGCCAACCTCTTTCCCAGCCCCAGGGCAGGGAGTTTGGGGGCTTGGGTGGAGCTGGGGACGAGGGGAGCTCGGGCCACGCTCACCTTGTCGGAATCCAGGTTGAGGTTGGCCTGGCACAAAAAGTACAGGTAGATTTGGATCCCGGGACAGCATATGCCAGATGCTGAGGAAGTAAATGCTGAGCAGGTTGAGTTAGACATGCTGGGCCAGGCGCCCAATCCTGGGATGCAGCGGGGGAAGCAGCTCGCTAAAGTTCTCTGCCATGATCCCAGCAAGCCCTGCTACCCTGCACCAGAAGCACTGGCCTTTACTGAAGTCCCCCGAGCTGCCCAGCACATTCAGTGCTGGCCCCGCCTCACCGAGAGGTGGAAATCCGGAGACGTGGTAGGCTGTGCCTCTCCCCACGCCCACCCCAGCCATGTGCATGCAGCCTGTGATCCATTGGCTTGGGGCTCAGGACAAGCTCATGACCTCAGTCCAGTGTGTGCTGTGCACCGACAACTGCTCTGGCCCAAATCCAGGCCTCGCCCACCCCGATCCCCAGCCAAAGGAGAAGCTATGCAGCGGTGTCTACACTCTTCATGCTTTTTTATTACAAGACTACCTCGCATGTGTGTAAAACTCATCATCCAGCAACTACATCTAAGCACAAATATTTGGGGGGAAAAGATTCATTAAATTATATGATTAAATCATTGACCAAATAGAAAATTTATATAATAAAGCCAGAGAAAAAGTTGTAAAATATAGTTTACAATAATTATTCACATTCAAGGCTGTACATCAATACATATAACAACCTGGCCCCAAACATGAATTCAATCCAAATAATTCATATATTAGATTTTAAATAACACAGACTGAATTAGAGGCCAACAATAGCCAGCAAATAATCTTATATAAGAATAAAAATACAAAAGTGTATATCCTAATATCATTGCATTATTTGTTTCTCTCTTTTTTTTTCTTTTTTAATTTTTGCTTTGCCTGTACATCACAGTTACAGCTACAGACCAGGTAGAGAATATCACACGTTCTAAGTGACTGCCACCAACCCTGACAGACAACTAACAGACTATTGCCTCGTCTGATTTTGTATCAAGGAACAGGTACAGCAGCTCTAAATACTGCGGAATTAAATTTTGCCAACGTCCAATCAAACCTACGATGGTGATAGAGGCTTTTCACCCGCAAAATGAACCCGACTCATGGTCATTCAGCTAGACAGATTAGACTAGGGTGGATCACACAGGTAAAAAAGGATTGGCTTTTGTAAATATGTCTCTGTACATAATGTCTGTTGTTCCCTCGTATTGAAGAAATGACTTACGGGGGAAATGCAGGTACACGAAGGCTTGCTCAGTGGCACACCACAGCTGTCTGAACCAGAGAGAACTGCTCTTTGCTGGAACAGCTTCCTCCCCAGACCAGTTCTCCACAGGCCGCCTGCTCACAGCCCTGCCAGCAGCCCGTGCCCCCCAGAGGCTCTGGCAGTGACTCCTGCCCTGGTTAAAGCTCTGGCCCCAGAGGCTGCCCAAGAGGCCAGGGCCACACCCACTTGAGTCACCGTCCGTCCAGGTTAGGTTTGGATGTGGAAAGGAAGAATATGGAAAAGCATGTATGGCAACAGCTCCAAGAACAATACTGTCTCCAAACGCTCCTGGCGACTGCATCCTCAGTCTACGGACTGGCCAGGGAGGGGGGTTTGAGATTCAGAGGAGGGCAGGAGACCTAATTCTGGGCAATTCAGCCACAGTCTTTGGCGGAGTGATGTGCCACTGAGCATGGTACCTAGAAAAATTCTCATGCATGTTTCCCTTCAGAATCAACAGACCCCAAAGTAAAGCGGAGAAATTAAGAATGAAACCGAATGTGGATGGTCTGAACATGAAGACAACTAGACAACCTGCAATACGGTGGGTGAGGAGAGGGAAGTCCTTATCAGCCAGGATGACCACTGTCTGCCATGAAAAAGCCTGGCCGTGTGCTATACTGAACCAAGACCCTGACAGTCCCAGGATTTGAAGAATGGGGGTGGGAGATGGGCACACACACTTCTGTCAAACACAACTGTGTCTGATTTTTTTCCTTCCAAGTACAGCTTTTGCTTTTTCACTGCTTCCAAACGGCCCAGCACATCAGGCGCCGAAGCTCGCCCAGAGGACGGCAGTTGCTCACAAACACAGGCGACAAGTCCGTCAACATCCATTACCTCAAGTTATGAGATGGAAAGCATCGAGCAAGTCCGGCAGATTTTGAAGCCTGTGTCAATTCAGTCAACTCAAGATGCCATCGCAACATTTACAGTGCTGATCAGCTGTCTGAATCTTTAAAGGATATTCAAACTCGACTTGTAAATAGAGTCTCATCTCCTTATGTCAGATGCACGATTTGATAAGCTTGAAAAACTGATACGAGCTGTTCAAGTTAAAACTACTAAGACAGGATTTTCACAAATAATCGGTTCTAAAATAGGAGAGGATATAGTAGACTTTAGGCCAGGGCTTAATCCACAGCCTGGTCTGTCAAAACAGCAAGCGGGGCTGAGTCCACTGAGACAGCAGGAGTTCCTAAGTCATCTAATGCAATCCTTGATTTCATACAGAGCATTTAGTGTCACTGACTTATGATAGTTAAGAATTAAAGAAAAAAGCAAAAAACAAATGGCCCAGCATACTTTGAGTCTATAAACTCAAATTACAAATCACCCAATAAGCATGTGGCAAGATCAGTTCAGCACTTTCTATCTCCTGACTGTGCAGATACAAATTCAGTACCATTGTAGACACAAAGCACAAGATTCTGAAAATATCACCAAGCACTTGAAAGCCATAGCAGCAGGGGTGGGAAAGTAACTAACATGCAAGCACACCAGATTTTTTCAATGAAAAGGAGGAAACAGACTTTTGGAAAAATCTGTCACAAAAATACTGCAGTAATGACATCATTTTTTAACATTAAAAAAGAAAAAGAGCAGTCTTATTCCAACACTGTTTGAATAAGAGTTTCAATACAGTTTACCAGGAATTCATTCATTTCTTCAAAATCTGAAGGAAACAACTAAGGAGGTCCTGTTTTAGAACTCTGAGCATCTAATCATCAGATCAGAGAAATAAATAAATACCACCTTTGAAACAAACTTTTACTCAAAAATACTACTTGTGGGGATGGGGGTAAGAAGGGTCAGAGTAAAAAAATCAAAGATTTAGAAAGATAGTCATCACAGCATTATTTAAATAATGAAAAACTAGAAACCATCTAAATATTTTATAACAGGGAAATAGATAAATTATAAGACATAACAAACTCTACAATCATTAAAAACAATGCTTCTGAATCATTATTCATGATATGGGGAAATGCTTAAGATAAAATACCAACTGAAAAAAGCTGGATGCACAGCGGTATGTATTGGCCCTGGCTGATGTGGCTCAGTTGGTTGGAGCATCATCCTGTGAATCAAAGGGTTAAGGGTTAAATTCTTGGTTAGGGCACATATAAAGGTTTCAGATTCGACCCCCCAGTTGGGGGGTGTACAGGGTGTATAGGAGGCAACTGATGGATGTTTCTTTCTCACACTGAAGTCTCCCTTCCTCTCACACTAAAAATCAATAATAAAAAGAACGTGTTTTATGTTCCCAGTTTAGATGAAAAAAAGCAAATGAATTTGGGGCAGGGAGAGGATAGGTTATACACCAAAATGTTCACAGTGGTCTTTACTGTTTTTTGTGTGTGTGTTTTAGAAAACAATGTTTTAAGAAAATAGTTAGTCACCTAGTGCCCCCTGCGCTGGCGTGTATACCCTGGGGCCATCTCCTGCAATTCCTTCAGGTCTGGGCCACAAATACCCCAAGAGGGCTGGAGTAGGTGTAGTTCTCGCCAGCTTTGGCATGATCACAAGAGCCATTTTTCCAAAGCAAGTCTGTCACAAGTTGTTAGGTTCAGAAAAGCAGGCAGTCATTGGTGCCAATCATTGGGGGGGAGTTGCACTCCACAGGGAGCTGCCCACTGCCCATGGCCCTGGTCAGGTCCAGAGAGGGGAGGGAACCACCTCTGCCAACCCAATCCCCTCAAGTCCCTGGAGACAAGCAAGGCACAAGGAAGAGCACAAAACCACCTAGCTGCCCTCCCTCCCTTCCGTGCCAAGACAGGCCACATGATAAGAGGCTGTCTCCAGTTGGGGGGTACTGGGTTTGACTTGTCTTTGCCGACTCTCAGTAAAACACGTGGCTCCTGGATCTATTAAACAGCAGGGAATTTCTTTCTCACTTGGGATAAATCCACATTCATATTTCTAGGTATGTCTGTGTATGTACATAGACCCTTGTCCACAACTCAGAATGTAAGGCACTTGCATGCCAAGATGATGGTTGTAAGGACAAGTTGGATAAAATTAAAGTTGGCAGAAGTATAGGGTAAAAGAATACACATGGGCCTTAAAAAAAAAAAAAAAAAAAAAAAAAAAGGCCTCTGAGTGAAACAAAGTTGGCTTACAGAGAAGGGCTCAGCTTATGCTGGCACGGGCGAGGGCAGTCACTTCAGCTGTCAACTTCGAGCTCAACCTGAGCCCCTCATTTTCTGGTTTCAGAGGTTAGGATGGAGCTTGTTGGTTAAGCCCAGGAGGTAGTGGCGACATCCAGAAGGCAGAATGCGAGGGAGGACTTGTCTCGTGAGTAGCCCAGCTGAGTGCTTTTTCTAAACACCAATACCAGCCATGCTCATTCCCTGTAACCAGACGCCTGGGGAGATGCTGCACAGAAACCTGCTCCTAACCACACACACACACACACACACACACACACACACAGATGTGAGCTGTCGTTTCCTCAGATTTCACAGCAGAGGACAGGCTCGAACAGAAACCACCAGCAAACCTGGCTACAACCTCTGCTCAGCCCTCTCCTGCCCAGCAGTGAGTCCCCCAGCCCACTCCCTCCCGGGGGAAGCACAGCCACTCTGACCACCAGACAATGTGAGCAGCCTCTCTCTCTGCCTGGACGCCGGCCACAGAGGTGAGCGGTGTGTGAGACGGGACAGGCAGGAAGCCCGAGGGGCTTTCCTGTGGGAGCCTTTGCCAGTGCCGTGGTGAAAGGCTAAAGGAAAAGGTGTTCACCCCCTGGAGCAGCCTGCAGGCCCGGATCTCCCCACTGAACAGAGGGCTGCCCCCGGGACACCTGGGAAGGGAGAGGAACAGCCAAGACCCACCGTCTGGGGAGCAGCAGCAGAGAAAATCAAAGGACGAGCAGAACCCGGACCATGTGAGGCTACCGGAGGGTAGGTGCTGCCTCTAAGCACTGAAAGGAGGGAACTGGAAATGGAAGGAGAGCAGGCTGGGAGCTGGGTTCAAGTGCAAGGCGGGTTAACCCTTTTTTTCCAGGCAAAGTCCACTTGACGGTGACCAGATAACCTGGCACCACGAGAAGGTGTTAGATTCTCACTGCTGGGATGTAAGAATTTTTGGCTGTGAGCATATTCAATCACAACATTGAAAAGGGTGCGTGTGAGTACTGGCTGGGAGCATGCACTCCTCCCACCACCCAGATGACTGAGTACCGTCCAATTTGTGAGGAGTCTCTTGGTTCCTAATTAACTGGTCTGGGGGAGTCCTGTACTTTTAAACAGACCCTCGGGAAGGCTCATCAGGTCTCACTCCTCCACATGGAGACCACCAGGCTGCCCTGGTCTTAGGAGGCCGGCAGAGCCGTCTGCTTGTGCAGCTGGGCTCACCGGGCTTACTGCTGACCATGCTCCCTTCAGCATGTGCCTGGGCTCCAGCCCCGGAGGGCAACACCGCTCCAAGGGATGATGGATCGGAACCTTGCGGGCAGTGGCTTGTATTTCACCCGATAGCCTGTCCCACTTCTCACCACTGGGAGCCTGCCTGGCAGTCACATGTGGAGCACCTGCAGACAGAAATCTTGCAGCCAGAGCTACTTCAGGAGGAAAGCAAGAGCTCGCAGCACAGGGGATGAGCCATGATCTAGGGACATGAGGAAAAGAGCACATGGACAAAGGCCAAGAACCTTCCCACCCCATGGAGATCAGAGGCCGCCCCAGCAGAGCACACACAGCTCCCTGTGAGGAGTTCCATGGTCACCTAGAGGGCAGAAAGGGCCCAGACACACCCTGTCCCCTAGGTCACAGCAAGACCAGCAGGTGACCGGGGTGCACGGCGGAGAGCTGGTGGACTGGTCCACTGGTCCAGGTGGGAATCAGGTAGACGTGCACAGCACTGGGTCCTGGCAACAAGGACAGCTCGGGGAGACCTCCATAGAGCACAGAGAGCAAGCAAAGCGACCCTGAATTCCTGTTCATTATTGGTTTTGTTCTTTGTGTTGTTGGGTATTTTTTTCTTCTTTTCTTTTAAATAAAAAAGCTGCAAGGGTCCACTGTCTACATTCCCCTGGAGACGGCTGGCAGGTGGCCTGGAAGCGTCCCGGAGCGCGCTGAGCTGGCGGGGCGCGTGTCCTGGCAGCGAGGGCAGGCGGTGGGCTGTCACTGCACGGTGTTGTCTGGGTGGCTCTGGTATCGGTGCCTCCACACCTCCTGAATCTTTCTGCACCATTTGTGAGCGTTCCCGCTCGGATCCATCAGGTAATACGTTCTGTTTGGCTGCAGAGAAAGAAACTATTAATGTTCTCAAAGAACTGCGTCTCCCCAAGACCAGCACCTCAACTTGTGGGGGAGAAATCTCAGAAAGACACCATCACGTGGCCAGTGTGGCTTAGTGTTTGAGCGCCCACTGATGAACCAGGAGGTCACGGTTCAATTCCTGGCCAGGGCACATGCCCAGGGTGTGTGCTTAATCCCCTGACTGGGGTGTGCAGGTAGGCAGCCAATCAATGATTCTCTCCCATCATTGATGTTTCTCTCTCCCTCTCCCTTCCTCTCTGAAATAAAAATACACTAAAAGATGCCAAAACCGGTTTGGCTCAGTGGATAGAGCGTTGGCCTGCGGACTGAAGGGTCCCGGGTTCGATTCTGGTCAGGGGCATGTGCCTTGGTTGCAGGCACATCCCCGGTGGGGGGTGTGCAGGAGGCAGCTAATCGATGTTTCTCTCTCATTGATGTTTCTAACTTTCTATCCCTCTCTCTTCCTCACTGTAAAAAAAAAAATCAATAAAATATATTTAAAAAAAATAAAAATATACAAAAGGAAGGAAGGAAGGAAGGAAGGAAGGAAGGAAGGAAGGAAGGAAGGAAGGAACTGCCATCCTATTGCAGGTACTTCTGAAAGCACATAAACATGAACATGAACATGTGGATTTCTTCCTTGAACATACGTGCAGATATTAAAATTGCAGGTGATGACTTACAGATCCCTCAGGTCATCCCCAAAGTAAGAAACAAGCACAGGTATCTCCCAGCCCAACTCAGGACTGAGCCATGAAAGTGGGGCTCTGACATGTGGAAAAGGGGGAGAGGAGACAAGTGCCTTGACCCCAGCTCCCTCCCCATGCTTCACATGGAAGTACAAAGGCCTCCAACTGCCTTGCGAATGAGAACCCATAGGGACAAACTTACCGTGTGGACAAAGAAGGTTTTAAAGTTCTTGGCCTCTGGTCGGAGTTCCTGTGACCACGGAATTTCACCTTTCAGGACTTTGTTGACAGGATCCACATAATATAAGTGTGGCCCTTCTGTAAGTAATAACTGTCGTCGTCGTGCAAATAAACCCTGACAAAAAAAAAAAAAAAAAAAAGGACCCCGCTGGTTAAGGTTCAGAAGTGGGTGATGACAGTGCTTACTGCTGCCTCAGAGGCTGGACTGTCAGAGTAGCTCAGTGTACAAGAACCACTGCCAGCCACCTGTCCACTCACTTGGGAAAAAGGGAGCGTGCACACCTCATCCCCCATGTGGACCCGGCCTTGGATTAGAAAGTGGAAGCACTTACTGCTTGGTTTTGGCCATCTGGATATCGTTACCCCCATTTTAGACTCCCTTACTTTGCTTGCCATGTGCAGGAACAGCAGCACAGGCAACCCACCAGCTCACGTCTCTGTGGCTAAGCAAACTCTGAAAGCCCCACAATCGATAGTCAGCCCCACTGCTTCTTGTGCCTTCTGCTCCATTCCGAGGCACAGAGCTCTGCCTGTGAGAATTCACCTTCATGGAGGTTCTCATCCACTGAGGACACCCCAGGGTGGGTCAGAAAAGGGTTTCATGAGGCCTTGGCTCAGCAGATTTATGGAGTCTGATATGTTTTGATAAAATTAATCCATGATAAAATATATAATAAAACATAATAAATAACAATTTTCCAAAAACAATTCTAGGCCCGGCTGGTGTGGGTCAGTGGTTGAGTACTGACCCATGAACCAGGAGGTTACAGTTTGATTGGTCAGGGCACATGCCTGGATTGTAGGTTAATCTCCAGTAGGGAACAAACTGGAGGCAGCCAATCAATGATTCTCTCTCATCATTGACATTTCTCTCTTTCTTTCAAATCAATAACAAAATTCTTTTTTAAGTTAAAAAAACAAACAAAACAATTCTAATGAAGTATTAGATGACTGTGGTGATGTCAAGCAGAACCTCCTCAATGGAACAGAACCTTTATTGGCGAACCCAGCCTTGTGGAGACACCGGAACCCTGGCTTCTGAGAACAAACAGCCGAATAGCTGAAATCTCCCTTAGCTAGCAAATCTAGAGATGATCTCTCAAAAGGAAAGATGCTATGTGCGACAAGTTACCACAGGAACCTGAGAGGACGGCATGATCCTGATTAAGAACTAGGAGGGAGGAGCCCTGGCTGGTATTACTCTGTGGTTAGCAAGTTGGCCCTCACACTGAAGGTCACGGGTTCGATCCCCAGCCCTGGTCAGGATGCAGGCAGAAGGCAGACAATTGATGTGTCTCTTTCACATGGCTCTCTCTCCCACTATCTCTCTTTCCCTCCCTTCCACTCACTCTGGAAAAAAAAAAAAAATCAATGGGAAAAATATCCTTAGGTGAAAATTAACAATAACAAAAGAACCAGGAGGGATACACAGAAAGATGCAGTTGGAATCTGACTTACCTTTCGCTTATCTACTGGACCCATTTTTAGTATTAAATTATTTTCTACAAACTGGTGCCTACAAAAGAAGAAAACAAGAATGAGACACTCATGAGTTAGACAGAAATTCTCCAAACTCCTCCCTTCAAAACAAACCTCCAATGGCATTTGTGAACTTTGCTTTAACCAAGCCTCTCCCTTCACAGATCCAAACTCATTTGAGTAACACGAGGAAACTCCAAATGTAACTGAGCATACAAGCTCTGTTGCTTTATAGAACTTCCAATCTGCCTTTGGACCAAATGCCAGAAATATCACCTGCTGTCCCCCTCTCACTTGGCAGCCTTCACACAACCAAGGAAAGGTAGAGGGAGACAGGGCTGCAGGGTTGAGCCCATCACACAAGTCTTTGTTACTTTAAACAAAGCAAGACCCAGACATAAAACCCCTCCTAAAGGGCAGAGTCTGCTGTGAGTCATTCTGAGGATGAAGCCTGTGTTCATATGTTACCTCCATAAGCTGGGACCCCAAGTCAGTGTTCAGAATCCACTGAGCCACTTAGAATCATAAATCTCTAAAAGACTCAAGTTGGACTTGGTTTAAGAATATCTCATCTTAGCCGAAACCGGTTTGGCTCAGTGGTAGAGCGTCGGTCTGCGAACTGAAAGGTCCCAGGTTCGATTCCGGTCGGGGGCATGTACATTGGTTGCGGGCATATCCCCGATAGGGAGTGTGCAAGAGGCAGCTGGTCGATGTTTCTCTCTCATCGACATTTCTAGCTCTCTATCTCTCTCCCTTCCTCTCTGTAAAAAATCAATCAATAATATATATATATATATATATATATATATATATATATGTATTAAAAAAAATTTAAAAAAAGAATATCTCATCTTAACTGATGGCTCAGTTGGTAGAGTGCTGTCCCCATACCCAAGGCTGCTGGTTCAATCCCTAATCAGGGCAATCCAAGAATCAAGCAATGAATGCATAAATAAGTGAAATAACAAATCCATGTTTCTTTCTTAAAACCAATTAAAAAAAAAGAACATTTCATCCGGTGTTTCTACCATAGTAATAAAATACTTTTATTCAAACATGGTAGAAATTTGGAAGAGAAAGCTTTAAATACAGTTTTTTAAAATATATATTTTTATTGATTTCAGAGGAAGGGAGAGGGAGAGAGAGACAGAAACATCAATGATGAGAGAGAATCATTGATCGGCTGCCCTGCCTCCTACACACCCCCTACTAGAGATCAAGCCTACAAACTGGGCATGTGCCCTTGACCAGAATCAAACCTGGGACCCTTTGATCCACAGGCCAGCACTCTATCCTCTCAGCCAAACCAGCTAGAGAAAATGCAGGTTTTGATTTAATACACATAATTAGCAAAATATAGGTCTCTTTGATTTCTAAGAGTTTAAAAGAGGCTGTTTTAATGTCTGCAGGCTCTTCTGGTTAAAGCTAACAATTACTGGTTTATGTTCTGATTTTACTAAAATTCCTGATCAACCAAGGTTCTACTATAGAAACAAAATATTTTTTATTTGAAAACATGTCAGACAAGTGTTCTATCAAACAGTGACAATTTCAGCACGTAAGTATCTGAGCTCGCTCACATGCTTCTCTGGCTCCTTTGGGACCTAGCGCATGTTCAAGCAGAATGGCCAAGCTGCTGGAACCATGTTCTCCCACTGAGTGTGCCTGGCCTAGCGTGACCCAACCAGACCAACACCCACACCCCAGTGCCCAGTGGGCTTGCCTTGCTGAGACCCCATCAACAAGGAATGAGGCCCAAGCAAACTGATGCAGCATCATGCGGATTTTGAAAACTACTAAGATGAATATTAACAATAAAAAAGGGCTGTGTCCTCTACAAGGAAAAGAACAATACTTCACTCTCAGAGGCACTAAAAAACAAACAAAACAAGGCTTGAAGCAAAGAGAAAAAAATCAAGGAGATTTCTGAAAAGGACATCCAATGCAGCTCTGCTGCAAGACAGGATTACATGGAAAAACAATGGAGCCTAATAGCTCTCTAACTTACAGGCCCTGCGCCATAAGAACTCATGTATAATAAAGAACCAAAAGTTTATAACAAGGGGAGACTTTAATTATACAAGGGCAGGGTGGAGAGTGTCAATGTAAGCCTAGGCCAGTTCACGGCCTCAGTCAGCTGGGCTGCTGGGATCCTAAGCCAGTGGGCATAAGATCACCATCAGAGAAATCTGTCAGACATGCAAGGGAAGAAAAGACCTTCCAGCATTTTTGCAGCCTCACATGGATTAACAGGAGAGACAATTTAAAATATTATATCAAACAAAAGAAGAACTGCTGGGACCGGTTTGGCTCAGTGGATAGAGCGTCGGCCTGCGGACTGAAAGGTCCCGGGATCGATTCCGGTCAAGGGCATCTACCTTGGTTGTGGGCACATCCCCAATAGGGGGTGTGCAAGAGGCAGCTGATCGATGATTCTCTCTCATTGATGTTTCTAGCTCTCTATCTCTCTCTCTTCCTCTCTGTGAAAAATCAATAAAATATATTTAAAAAAACAAACAAACAAAAAAAAACCCCACAAAAAATAAAACAAAAGAAGAACTGGAAGAAAAAAAGAAGAGGATATTGTTCAAGCCTACTTGGGAAGGGCTACTAATTAATTAATTAATTAATAAAAATACTTTTTATTGATTTCAAAGAGAAAGAGAAGAAGGGAGAGAGAGAGAAACATCAATGATGGAGATAATCATTAGTAGGCTGCCTTCTGCATGCCCCCTACTGAGGTTCGAGCCTGCAACACTGGCATGTGCTCAGACCAGAATCCGCACCGTGACTTCCTGGTACACAGGTCCATGCTCAACCACTGAGCCACACCGGCGGGCAAGGGGGGCGGGTACTTTTTAAAGCTGGAAACAAAACAAGCTACCTAACACAGAGTAACAGACATGACTACATAAGAACAAAAAGAATCTTTAACTACAAAAATAACCAAATTAACAAGCAAACACACTGAAGAACCTTCAGCAAATACAACCATCTGTACTTTACTGAGCATCTACAAAGGGAATGACATAAAGGCTTAAAACCTCAATGGCTAAGGATATAAACTGGAAATTCCCAAAAGAGAATTAAGTGACCCTAAAAATTCTCAAAAAGACTGCCCTGGCCAGTTTCCTCAGTGGTTAGAACATATTCCCCATCAAGGTCATGTATCTGGATTGCAGGTTCAATCCTGGCCCTGGTGGAGGTATGTGGGAGGCAACCAATTGATGTGTCTCTCTTACATTGATGTTTCTGTCTCTCTCTCCTCTTCCCTTCCCTTTCTCTCTCTCTCTAAAAAGGACAAAAAAAAAAAAAAAAAAAAATCAATGGGAAAAAAATACCCTCAGGTGGGGATTAAAAAAAAAAAAAAAAAAAAAGACAGAACAAAAATTTTTAATTAAAAAAAAGAAACTAAGTGCCACTTTCACATGTTCTACTGAAATGCACTGGTGTGTAGGCAAGTGCCGTATGGATACGGTGGAAGGTGGTCTCACTCAGCACGGGAACAAACAGCCTGAATTAGGAGGACCTGCTGAAAAGGTAATTTGGAAATAATGTCTAAGGATAAGCAAAGGCCGGGAGCACCCACCGTCACAACTGTTATTCACACTGGGACTCTGAAGCCACAAGATGGTTCAGCAACAGAACGTGTGAGCTCCTTCCTTGTGCCCGCAGCGAGGACTCCCTACTGACAGGCCCACACCGCTCCACCGCACACGGATACACATTCTCCCCCTCACACACGCCTGCCAGCACACAGCCACGCGCTCTCCGCTCCAATGACTCGTGTTCCAGATGGTGCAGAGCTGGTTGGACTCCTGACCGGATCCAGTGGCTGGGGTAGCCTCTGTCTACTCCTGGAGTCCAGGAGGCAGGACTCAGGAGGCAGAGGTCAGAAGCTCCCTTATTAGCATCAATACCACAGCCTTCTCATTTGTTAGTTAACCAATTAGCTTCAACAAGCTACTAGTTACCTACTTCGAAAAGTTTACTTGAAGGAACCCTTTTGATTTTTACTTCAAAGGGTCAATTCCTACTCTCCTGAAGAAAACACCTCTATCCCAACGAGGCACCTTTTTCTCTCTGACAGTTGGCAGGACATCTGCAGACTCAAAGATGAAAGTAGACCTAAGAGAAAGATATGTCTAACTTTTGGCATACTGTTAGCATGCACAAGAAGCTTTACCATCGATATTTCTCCCTGCCTCTCCCCCTTTTCCACTCTGTCTAAAAATCAATGGAAAAATATCCTCAAGTGATGATTAACAAAAAAATAAAAAGTCAATTTAAAAAAATACAAAACATAAAAAAATAGTCAGCCGAAACTGGTTTGGCTCAGTGGATAGAGCGTTTGCCCGCGGACTGAAAGGTCCCAGGTTCGATTCTGGTCAAGGGCATGTACCTTGGTTGCGGGCACATCCCCAGTGGGGGTATGCAAGAGGCAGCTGATGGATAATTCTTTCCCATCGATGTTTCTAACTCTCTATACCGCTCTCTTCCTCTCTGTAAAAAATCAATAAAATATATTTAAAGAAAAGAAAAAGAAAAATAGTCAAAGGACTCAAAGTACCTTGACAAGTAAATACAATTGGTCAATGTATCTAGATGTTTGCTTTGATAAGAAATCAAATGCTAATCTACATGAGCCCATTTTTTATTTTACTTTATTGATTTTTTGCAGAGAGGAAGAGGGGGTTAGAAACATCGAAGAGAGAACCATCGATCAGCTGCCGCCTGCACACCTATTACTGGGGATGTGCCCGCAACCAAGGTACATGACCTTAACCGGAATCAAACCTGGGACCTTTTAGTCCGCAGGCTGATGCTCTATCTACTGAGCCAAACCGGTTTCGGGGTTTTTTAAAATATATATTTTTATTGATTTTTTACAGAGAGGAAGGGAGAGGGAAAGTTAGAAACATCGATGAGAGAGGCATCAATCAGCTGCCTCTTGCACACCCCCTACTGGGGATGTGCCCGCAACCAAGGTACATGCCCTTGACAGGAATCAAACCTGGGACCTTTCAGTCCACAGGCCGACGCTCTATCCACTGAGCCAAACCGGTTTTGGCTGAGCCCATTTTTATAAATATATTTTATTATTGATTTTTTACAGATAGGAAGGGAGAGAGATAAGAGAGCTAGAAACGTCGATGAGAGAGAAACATCGACCAGCTGCCTCTTGCACACCCCCTACCGGGGATGTGCCCGCAACCAATGTACATACCCTTGACCGGAATCGAACCTGGGACCCTTCAGTCCGCAGACCGACGCTCTAACACTGAGCCAAACCAGCTTTGGCTGAGGCCATTTTTAGAGCATCAAAATGCTCAAGGGTAGGCATGCCCATTAGGGAAATGGGGTTGTTCACAGGCACTGCAGCTACAAAGCACTGCCTTCCTAAATGTGCACCTTTTCACTCCACCTGCCACCCCAGGACTCCACCTTTAAAGAAATATTCAGACAAGTGAGAAAAACTATGTGCAGAGGATGAGTTACAACAGCAAAATCCCTGGAAGACCCCAAACATCTTACCAAGGAGCAGTGGTTATTTAAATCATGGTGAATTATGTCCAATCACAGATGCCTGGCCTGCTGAGACCCAAATGCACTCACTCCCTGCCCAGCGCTTTTTAACACCCACTTCCAGTTGTCATTGAGTGTTGCTGGCAGTCTAGGAGGAGCGAGCTGGTACGAAGCCTCGTGGGCAGCGGTAATGAAGACTAGGATGCCTGCTTTCTCTGTTTACTGTGTCTCGCAATCCCTGTATTCTGCTCTGCATTTTTAAAGCAATTACTACTTATGCCTATAAATTCTTACCAAGGGTTTCCACTGGCCTGCTTCTCCAATAATAACCTCTTCTCATCTTCAGAAAACTGTAAGTCCAGTTCAAAAGAATTAGTGTCCAGGTCATGGATATACTGCTCGATGTTGCTGCCCGCCCTCTGTGGCAGACCCGTGTCTGAGGCAGACAGGGAGTGGGAGGATGATGACGATGACACCTGCATGCAGCCAAACTGGCTCAGGAGATTGTCGTACTGCAGGGAAGAGAGAAAAGTGAGAACAGCGCCTAATGTTCCGTAGGGTCCAAAGATGCAGACAACATTCTGACCTACGCTGTACCAGCAAGCTCACGGCCTGATGGCCCCAGAGCCCAGTGGGAGATGAGCTTCAAAGCTGCAGCCCAGTTCTGTTTCTCCTGTTAAGTGTGGGCAGCTCTGACTTCTCCTCCATTGGCTGGCTGGCCACTAACCAAGGAAGGGCTGAATCCTGCCTGGTCTGGATCCCTCTTTCTGAGGCGAACATGAGAAGATGCTCACCCCAGAGAGAGCTAATCCGAAGGGAAACTTCTATAAGCCCCCAGGCGCCCCCACCTCAGGGGGTTAGGATGCCTTCTGGGAAGAGTAGGGATGAGCACCTATGGCCCCAGAGAACCCCCCTCCGCGGTGCAGAGACTCAGTGGCAGGAGTTCAGAGAGCTCTCCTCCTTTAGCCCTGTGGTCCTATGCCTCTGAGTCTATAGCTGTCACTATATGTTCCAATTTGACTGAGTTCAATTAAAAATTTAAAAAATACTCCTTTTCATCTCAGCAAAGTTTAATTAAGCTTGATATAGTCAGAGTTGCCTGCTATTCTAGAGAAAACGACTAACACTGGTGACACAGAAAATGGAATGACTCACAAACGTACCAAAGGCAGGGGCTGTGTACTCGCACACTCCTAGGCTGCTAAACGGGCCAGAGACCCCAGTAAAGACCTGGAGAGAGTGGGCACCCTGGACAGCCAGCTTCTCCATGGCTAGCAAAGAGGAAAAGGAAAGATGCCACCAGGAAGAGGTGACATCCTTCCAAGTCCCTGTGTCTCTAGGGTCGACTCCCTCCTGCAGACCCTGCGCCCACCCTCCTGTGTTGCCCCAAGCAGCCTTCACTCATGTGTTCACACAGCTTCAACAGCAGCCTCAGCCCTGCCCACTGGCTCCCAGGTAGGAGTGATCCTAGTGACACTCCTGGGGCCCCTCCATCTAAGGCCTGGAGCATTCTCCACTTCCTCTCTGAAAACAGCCCCTAGGCCACCACTGGGCAGTGTCTCTCAGCTTACAGAGGCTTCCGTCTCAACAAGCCTGCAAAGCCAGTGAGATGACTGTTACCACCATCTCCATTTCTGCATCAGGGAAATAAGGCTCAGAATGGGCCCAAGGCCACAACCTAAGAACCAGACTCCTGTGTCTTTCCAATGCAGTGACTGCCTCGCTCCCATGGCAGACTGCTGGCTGACCACCATGCCCACTGTTTGCTGGGTGAGTCCTATCTTGGGGCCTCCATTGTACTGTTCCCAGGGAAAGCTCCAAATGCTCTACCTCTGCACTCCCCTCAGCAGCACCTAGTACAGACAGAGCAGCACAAACACCAAACCTAGAAAGGACATGTGACAAGAAGTGACAGTGGCTGGAGTGGAGGTGCTCACCAACACGCAGTGAGGAGCACCAGACTGTGCTGAGCACTGAACTCCTCTCCGGGGCCACTGAGCCCAGACATGAGCATCACCATCAGCACCAGCACGGGATAGGAAGACAGATGAGAACAGGGTGCCTGCTCTCTTCATTCCCTGAATGAAAACAGTTTCTGCTCCTCTCATTCACAGGGACGTCCCCTTCCTGCTGAAAAGGACACTAGACTCTCTTGGAGCCTCACAGGTGGTGAGATTGTCCCCTGTGACACAAAGTCTACCCCTGCAGTAAGCAAGCATCTCCTGGAGCAGGTTTTCTCTGCATTTGATACTTTTCCAGGTCAAAGTATTTTTCAAGGTTCACTAAACTGTCCAATTGTCAAGTGTGGTATAGGGAGTTCAGGCCAAATACTTTCCAAGGTTTTCAAACCACACAGCCTTCAAAGCTGAGGATGAGCCACCTAACAAAAAGTAAGTTGTTAACCTGTAGAGACAGTTTGCGATGGTAACATTTGAGTACCAAGAAGCCAGAGCTCTTGACATGGCAAAGGCAATAAAACAGCAGAGGGCCTGAAAAAGACACTCAAGTGTATACAAGCATATACAAACACTCACATGTACATACACACACAGGCTACAGGAAGCTAAGATCTGAGACAACTGCGCCCTCCATCAGAGCTCAGCTCCATCAGAGCTCGGCCAGCCAAACATGCTTCTTCCCTGGACACCCCTGCCAAAGGCACTGGAGACACTAACATACTCCTACCGGCTGTGCCTTAGGAACAACAGAGCCGGGGGAGGAAGGCCTGGGGTGAGCCTTCTGCAGTCTGCAAACACGGAGGCCGCAGCCACTGCAATGGGGAAGCAGGTCAGGCTCCCTTCAAGTCTAGGCACAAAGGATATTTCAGGAGAAGCAAAGGGGGATGTGTTGCTTATAAATATAAGCAGGAGACATAAGGAGCTCTTGATCTTTGAGAGGTGATACCAGTAATAATTTTAATTTGGCTCTGATTCTTAGATAAAGTATAGAATTTCCACATCAACTAAAGTGGAACTCTACACATAAATGGTTAGAATAAACTAGTGACAGAACTCAAGCCAGAAAAATGGACTATCCTATCTAACAAAGAAGAAATATGCTAATTGACTGCACACCCACAGCCAATAAGGAGGGAATATGCTAATTGACAGCTACACCATCAAAGATGGTGGCACCCATAGCCACAAGATGGGGGCACCAGTCCCTCAGCCCTGCGAGGGCAGCAAGTGTACAGCCATGCCCACCCCTAGGCTGGTCCAGCCGCTCTGCCCACCTGCCTCCTGAGTCCCTCAGCTTAGGGCCGGCCCAAGGCGCAGGCAAGCCTTGGATGGCGCTGTGTAGCCAATGCCCGAGGTGCAAGTAAGCCTTAGATGATGGTTGCCCAGCCGACACCCAAGGCGCAGGCAAGCCACCAATGGTGGCTGCCCAGCCACCCAGGGCTGGCCCAAGGCGCAGGCAAGCCTCAGGTGGCAGTTGCCCAGGCACCCAAGGCCACCCAAGGCTCAGCTAACCAGAGTGTGATGGGTACATCACCTTTCCCTGATCACTGGGTCACCCCCCTCCTGTGGGCTCCTGGACTGTGAGAAGGGCCAGGCCAGGCTCAGGGATCCTCCCTCCAGTGCATGCACCGGGCTCTATTCAATGATAATAAAAAACACTTGAAGGTGGATGGAGGGTGCACTGCAGTTCCTTGTACTCCTCTGTCCAATTCCATATGCTCCCATAAGAAAAGTTTAAAGAACAAACAAAAAAATGAAAGAAAAGAAAAATTTAAAGAACAAAGTGTACTTACACTTACATCTGAGTCTAAGCTGATGACTATAGCTTCCCACACATGCCAGGTGCTACCCCCCTTGGGGTTGTACCACAGTCCCCGCTTTTACCAGGAACTAAAAGCTGACACTGACCAATGTCTATCCTAAATGTCACGTCCCAAAAAGTTCAAAGCAATAGCACCCCAGACTTCTCTTGGAAAGATCAGAAGCATTCCAGAATGTTTTTAGATGTATGTTTATAAATCAAAGATACCAGCCAAGAGCATAAGAAAGATGCCCACCAGGAGACTCAGCACCAGGAGCCCAGGGGAAAAGTGCTGTTCCTACTAGCTCCAGACTCCCCCACCCACCATCTACTTCTGGTTCAATCCCTATGAGTAAAAATTATCTAGAAAAAATGAGGAAAAGGGACTTGACCACCCCAGGGCCTGGTGACCTGCACTCGGGGCAGGCTCACAGACAAAAGCCACTTCGGCCTCAGTCTTGGTGAGACTCAGGCTTGGACTGCAAAGTGTCCAGATCTATGCTGGCTTCCCCTTGAGTCTTTCATCCCATGAAGCAGAGTTCTGTGGTCGAGGGGCACAGAGGAAGCATTTTCACAAAGTATGACAAGCGGAATACATCTCTGCCTGGGTTGTTCCTGACACACACGAGCCAGCTTACGTTTCCATAGCAGTCTTCATCATCTTCCGACATGGCTGGTAAATAGGCGGTGAGTTTCGGAGGTGTCTGGTGATGCAAATTCTCCCACGTAATGGATTCAAAGAATGAATGAGCTTTCAGGGGGCCGTATCCTTCCATTTCTTCACAGCCTAATCGCTTCGTGGCATCTAAAACCTTAAATAAATGTCAAGACATGTTAGTATTAGGGTTAAAAAGTAACTGTGACAAAAGTTCTTTGTGAGTAGTTCCTTTAACTTCCCAGTACCCTAAAAATGTAAAGTGCTATGGCCCATCCCACCTGGTCCTACCATGGGCCAGGGACAGACCGAGTTACCTTCTGAGCTTCTTTCTACTTCTCTCAAGTTTCTGTTCCTTTCCCTCTCACAGGTGAAAAGAAATCACAACTCAAAATTAATGGAAGCAGCAAGCTCCAATCAAAAGCCATAGAGTAGCTGTATGAATAAGAAAACAATCCATATACCGTGTTTCCCCAAAAATAAGACATCCTCCAAAAATAAGACCTAGCGCATGGAAAGATAAGACATCCCCTGAAAATAAGACCTAGCACAACTTTGGGAGAAAAAATTAATATAAGACACTGTCTTATTTTCGGGGAAACAGGGTATATATGCTGACTATAATAGAACCACCTCAGACCAAAAGATACAAATAGGCCATGGCCGGGTAGTTCAGTTGGGTAGAGCATCATCCTGATAATGCCAAAGTTGTGGGTTTGATTCCCAGTCAGGGAACATATAAGAGCCAACCAATGAGTGCAAAAATAAGTGGAACAACAAATCAATGTTTCTCTTTCTCTAAATTAAAAAAACAAAACAAAACAAAACAAAAAGACAGACTGAAGTTGTGAAGGGATGGAAAAAAATATTCCACGCAAATAAAAATGGGAAAAAAAAAAAAAAAAAAGCTGGGGCAGCAAGTTATATCTGACAAAAGACTTCATAACAAGAGACAAAGAAATTCACTACATAATACTAAAGGGATCAATCCAACAAGAGGATAAAACCCTTTCAAACATACATGCACCCAACATAAGAGGACCTAAATATATAAAGAAAATCTTGGTAGACATTAAGGGGAGCAACTAATATGGTCATAGAAGGAGATTTCAATAATCTACGGTCACCAATGGATCTTCCAGACAAAAAAATCAACAAGGCAATGACAATCCTAAATGACACAATGAATTAGTTGGACTTCATTGATATTTATAAACTATTTCATCCCAAAACAGTAGAATATACATTCTTCTCAAGTGCACATGGAACATCTTCAAAGACAGATCACATGTTAGGGCATAAAATAAGTCTTCATAAATTCAAGAGGATTGAAATCATATCAAGCATCGACTCTGATCAAAATGATATGAAACTAAAAATCAACTACAATTAAAAAACGGAAAAACATTTAAACACATGGAGGCTAAAATAGCATGTTAGTAAACAACTAGAGGCCTGGTACATGAAATTTATGCATGGGTGGGGGGAAGGGTCCCCACAGCTCAGCCTGCACCGTCTTCAATCTGGGCCCCCTCAAGGGATGCCCAACTGCTGGCCCCCACTGGCTTGCCTGCCTGATTGCCCCTAACTGCTTCTGCCTGCCAGCCAGATTACCCCTAACCACTCCCCCGTCAGCCTGATCGCCCCTAACTGCCCTCCCATGCTGGTCTGGTCACCCCTAACTGGCCTCCCCTGCCAGCCTGGTCATCCCTAACTGCCCTTCCCTGCCAGCCTGGTCATACCTAATTGCTCTTCCCTGCTGACCGGATCACTGACAACTGCCCTCTCCTGCTGGCCATCTTGTGGGGACCATCTTTTGTCCACACGGGGAAGGCTGTCTTTGACCACATGGGGCAGCTATCTTGTGTGTTGGAGTGACTGTCAATTTGCATATTACCCTTTTATTGGATAGGATGACTGGGCTAATAATCAGATTAAGGGGAAATAAAAACATTAACTGGAAACAAATGAAAATGAACATACAACAACCCCAAATCTATGGGACAAAGCAAAAGTAGTTCTAGGAGGGAAGTTCATAGCATCACAGGCCTACCTCAAGAAAAATCTCTATCAATCTAACCATTTCACTAAAAACATTTAAAAAGAACAAACAAAACCCAGAATGGAAGGAAATAAAAAAAGATCAGAGCATAAACAACATAGAAACTTAAAAAACAACAATGAAAGTGGTTCTTAGAAAAGATAAACAAGATTGATGAACCTTTAATCAGAGTCATCAGAAATTTTTGAGTGGCATCAAAATACAAATAAGTAAAATCAGAAAGAGGTGAAGTAATAACTGACATCACAGAAATACAAAGGATTGTAAGAAAAGACTATGAACAACTATATACCAACAAATACCTGGGCAAAACAGATAAATTCCTAGAAACATACAGTCTTCCAAAAACGGATTCAAGAAGAATCAGAAAACCTAGAATAGACAGATTACAACTAATGAAATTGAAGCAGTAATTTAAAAACTCCTAGCAAAGTTCTGGACCAGATGGCTTCACAGGCAAATTTTACCAAACATTCAGAAGAATGCACACCTATACTCCTCAAACTGTTCAAAAAAAATTCAAGACTTCCAAGCTCTTTTTATGAGGCCAGCATTACCCTAATTCCAAAACCAGACAAAGATACTACGCAAAGAAAGAGAAGTATAGGCCAATACCCCTGATGAACATAGATGCCAAAATCCTCAATAAAATATCAGCAAACCGCCTGGTTGGTGGCTCAGTGGTTGAGCAATTACCTATGAACCAGGAGGTCACAGTTCAATTCCTGGTCAGGGCAGAGATATGCCTGGGTTGTGGACTTGATCCCCAGGGAGGGGCACGGAAGAGGCAGTTGATCAATGATTCTCTCTCATTGATGTTTCTCTTTTTCTCTCTTCCTCTCCCTTCCTCTTTGAAATCAATAAAAAAAAAAATAAATATATATATATATATATATATATTTTTTTTTTAAATTAGCAAACATTAGCCGGGACCGGTTTGGCTCAGTGGATAGAGTGTCGGCCTTCGGACCTCAAGGTCCCGAGTTCGCTTCCGGTCAAGGGCATGTACATTGGTTGTGGGCACGTCCCTGGTGTGGGGTGTGCAGGAGGCAGCTGGTCGATGATTCTCTCATCGATGTTTCTAATTCTCTCTCCCTCTCTCTTCCTCTCTGTGAAAAATCAATAAAATATATATTAAAAAAATTAGAAAACATTAAAAGACCATACCTGGCTAAGTGGGGTTTATTCTGGGGATGCAAGGTTGGTACAATATTCTAAAATCAATAAATATGATACACCACATAAACAAAAGGATTAAAATCACATGATCATATGAATACCGTAAATGCAGAAAAAGCATTTGATAAAATCCAGGACCTTAAAGAAAAGGCAAAAAAACAAAAACCAACCCCCGACATACAAACATCCCCCTCCCCCCCACACACAAAAGAAACACACACCAAAAAATAAAATCCAGCACCCATTTATGATAGCACCCATCTGTGACGTCAGTAATATGGGAATAGAGGGGTCATACCTCCACATAATAAAGGCCATATATAACAAACCTACAGCTAACATCACACTCATTGGGCAAAAACTAAAAGCATTTCCCTTAGATCAGGAACAAGACAAGGATGTCTACTTTCACCACTCTTATTCAACACAGTACGGGAACTCCTAGCCACAGCAATTAGACAAGAGGAAGAAATCAAAGGCATCCAAAGGAGGAAGTATCCTCAGATGGCATGATATTGTACATAGAAAGCCCTAATAATGCCACCAAAAATTACTAGAATAAATGAATTTAACAAAGTGGCAGGATACAAAATTAATATTCAGAAACCAGTGGCATTTTTATATACCAATAATGAACTATCAATAAGAGAAATTAAGAAAACAATCCCATTTACTATTGCAAAAAAAAAAATCAAAAAAAAATCCTAGGAATAAATTTAACCAAGAAGGTAAAATTACTCAAAAAATTATAGAACATTAAAGAAAGAAACTGAGGAAGAAACAAATAATTGGAAGCATATATTATGTTTTATGGATTGAAAGAATTAACATCATTAAAATGTCCATACTACCAAAGTAATCTAAAGTTTCAACGCATCAAAATTAAATCAGCTAAATCAAAAAACTTCTATTAAAATACCAAAATAACCAAAGTGTGGCTTAATGGTTAGAGAATGGGACGGGCACTGAAAGGTCGGGTTCAATTCCCAGCCAAGAGCATGTACCTGGGCTGCAGGTTCGACTCCCGGCCCTGGCCAGGGTGAGTGCAGGAGACAACCAATTAATGTGTCTCTCTCACACAGATGCTTCTTTCTCTCTCCCCCTTCCTCCCACACTCTCAAAAAAAAATTTTTTTTTCAATGGAAAAATTATCCTCAGGTTAGAATTAACAACAACAACAAAAAATACCAACAGCATATTTCACAGATCTAGAACAAATATTCCAAAAAATTTATATGGAACCAAAAAGGATTCTAAATAACCTCAACAATATTGAGAAAGAAGATCAAAGCTGGAGTTATCTCAATAACTGATATCAAACTATAACAAGGCCTGGTAATCAAAACTAGCATAAGCACAGGCATACAGATCAATGAAACAGAACAAAGAGCCAGAAATGAATGGCTTTATGGTCTATTGATATTTGACAAAGGAGGTAAGAATACATAATGGAATAAAGACAGTTTTTTCAATAAATGGTGCTGGGGAAACAGAACAGGTACATGCAAAAGAAAAGAAACTAGAGCACCAATTTAACACTATATACAAGAATAAATTCAAAATGGATAAAAGACTTAACTGCAAGCTGAAAAACCATAAAAACTCTAGAAGAAAATATAACCAGTAAAATATCAGACATCTTTTGTAGTAATACTTTTTCCAGTATATCTCTCAGGGCAAGGGAAACAAAAGAAAAATAAACAAATGGGACTATATCAAAATAAAAAAACTTTTTTTGCAAAGCAAAAGAAACCATTAACAAAATGAAAAAGGAATCCAACGTATGGGACAACATATTTGCCAATGATACATTTGGTAAGGAAATAATTTCTAAAATATATAATGAAAGCATACAATTCAACACCAAAGGACAAAAAATCCAATTAAAAAGAGAGCAAAGGGCCCTAACCGGTTTGGCTCAGTGGATAGAGCGTCGGCTTACGGACTGAAAGGTCCCAGGTTCGATTTCTGTCAAGAGCATGTACCTTGGTTGCCGGCACATCCCCAATAGGAGATGTGCAAGAGGCAGCTGATTGATGTTTCTCTCCCATCGATGTTTCTGACTCTCTCTCCCTCTCTGTAAAAAATCAATAAAATATGTATTTTAGAAAAAACAACAAAAAAACCACCCCAAACAAACAAACCAAAGTGAGTAAAGGCTGTAGCTGGTTTGGCTCAGTGGGCAGAGTGTCGGCCTGTGGACTGAAGTGTCCTGGGTTCAATTCTGGTCAAGGACACACGCCTGGGTTGCAGGCTCGATCCCCAGTGGGGAGTATGCAAGAGGCAGCTGATCAATAATTCTCATCATTGATGTTTCTATCTCCCTCTTCCTCTCTCCGAAATCATTAAAAATAAAAAATAAAAAAAATGGGCAAAGGATTTAATAGACACTTTTGCCAAGAGGATATGAAGATGGCTAATAAAGACATAAAAATTAGCAGCATCATTAATCATCAAAGAGATGCAAATTAAAACCACAATGTGATATCACTTCCCTCCTGCCAGAATGGCTATCATCAATAAATCAATAAACAACAAATGCTGGTGAGGTTTTGGAGAAAAGGGAACCCTTGTACATTATTGGTGGCAATGCAGACTAGTGCAGCCACTATGAAAAACAGTATGAAGTTTCCTTAAAAAAATAAAAAAAGTTCTATATAATAAAGAGATAATATGCAAATTAACCCTCAAACCCTCACAAGATGGCTGCCTATGACCAGGTTGGCACTGGGGTTAGTGAGGGACGACCAAACAACTGAACAAGCAGGCTGTGTGGGGCAACCAGGCCAGTGTGGAGGGAAGGGGGAGGGCCATGAGGGGCGACTAGGCCGACAGGGGTGAGGAGGGAAGGCAGTTAGGGGAGACCAGGTCGGCGAAAGGGGTACAGTTGGGGGCAACCAGGCTGGCAAGTGGGGGAGGGGCAGTAAGGGGTGACCAAACTGGCGAGGGGGGCAGTGAGGAGCAACCAGGCCAGCAAGGAGAGGGCAGTTGAGGGTAACCTGGCTGGCAGTTAGGGGCGACCAGGCAGGCAAGCAAGTGATTAGGAGCCAGCAGTCCAGGATTGTGAGAGGGATGTCCGACTGCCAGTTTACTGACAGTTGGACATCCTCCAAGGAATCCCAGATTGGAGAGGGTGCAGGCTGGGCTGAGGGTACCTCCCCACACACAAATTTCATGCACTGGGCCTCTAGTGGTGTGTGTGTGTATGTGTATGTGTATGTGTATGTGTATGTGTGTGTGTGTGTATGTATGTATATGTATATGTATATGTATATGTATATGTATATGGCCCTAGCTGGTTTGACTCAGTGAATAGAGCGTTGGCCTGCAGACAAAGGGTCATGGGTTCTTCCAATCAAGGGCACATGCCCGGTTGCGAGCCTGATCCCCAGAAGGGGGCATGCAGAAAGCAGCCAATCAATGATTCTCTCTCATAGCTTTTTATTAAATACTAGTGGCTCAGTGCACAAATTCGTGCACATTGAAAGGAAATTAGAAGAAATATTTTAATATCACTATTCACCCTTTCTTTATAATACAAGTGTCAACCAAATTTACGACTGACAATGACAGATGGAAACATATGCATGCGATTGGCACCAGCGAGAGCTTTATATGTATAGTACATGCACAAGTCAACTTAGCCTTTTATATATATATATAGAATAAATTTGCTTAATTAGACCTGCTTTCTGATTTAGTGAAACTTTTTCCAGCCCAGTGAAGCACCCCAACTTCTCATTTAGGTAATTGTCAGCAATACAGCAGTAAATATCAACACAAAGCCGATTATTGCTATAGATCACACAAGGAGAACAAAGGGTAAAATATTTAACTGCAGCAGTTTGACTATACTCTGCTCAATGAGAAAACCTGAAGTTATTTTCAAGGTCTGCCATTTCTTACTTCTTTTCAGTCGGGTCAAGTTTCTAAGCTTTCTAAATCTCCGTTTTCCAGCTAATGTAAGGAAAATAGGATTCCACCGAGTCTCCTATTTACCTACTCCAGGACTTCTGTGAGGATTAAATGAGATGAGGCATGGGAAAACACTTCACAGACATTTGGTTAAAGTGTGAAATGTTTGCATCTGGTTATAAAGCAAGTTGTTCCTGGGCTGAAGAAACTGCAAGGAGAAGAAGCCAGGCATTGCTACGTGATATTATTACCCAGTGCCCACAGCGACTGTTTCAGGGCTGGGCTGGGCTGGGCTGTGGGCAGCATTTTGCGCCTTGGAGTCTTGGCAGCATAGGCTGTGATTTGGTGGGGTGTCACTCCTGGGTGGTGGTGGGGCCTGTGTTCCACTTGGGGGAAGCCGAGTATTGCTTTTTGGGTGCCAGGTCCAAGGTGCCTTTCTCTGTAAATGGCCAGTATGCATCAAGGCAGCTTTTGCATTGAGCATCTGCCCCCTGGTGGTCAGTGTGCATCATAGCGACCAGTTGGACACTTAGCATATTAGCCTTTTATATAGATAGATAGGTGCCTCCAGGTTCAGAGGGACTGGTTGACTACCAGATCATCTTACAAGAAGAAAACGCAAAATATTTACCAAAAGTTTTTCCACAAGGTCTCTTGCCTTAGGAAAGAATTTTTCAGGAAAGTCATATTCCAACTTAATGATCTTCTGAAATATAAGATATTCGTTTCTGTAAAATAAGAGAAACCATCATTCTGGGTAAGGTTACAAAAATCTCCCAGAAGCAAGCTGTATCTTTCCTGGGACAGTGTCTCCTCTCCCCACAGAGTCACTGTATTCATTAGAGCATCATTGTAAAAGTCCTCCCACCTTAGTTCAGCCTCCTCCCATTTCTCTGGCTGCTTCAATGGGCAGAGGTATGTGGGCAAGGGTGGGTAGAAGGTGGAGGGTAGAGGGTAGGACCAGAGGGTGTCTCTTACCCGGCTCGGAACGGTGGGAGTCCTGCTACAAGCTGGTATATTATACATCCAAGAGCCCAAAGGTCTGAACTTTGAAGGAAAAAACAAAGAATGACATTTGTAAAATTTCAGTGACATGCAGAGGTCTTTCCATTCCTTCTGTTCATACCACTCCATCTCAGCTTCCTATTTATTGCACGCCTTTAAAACCAGGTCAGTGTGAAGGTGGGAACCTACTTCAGGCCCTTTTCAAAGAGGCCTCCCTGGGAACTTGGGCCCAGAGTATCGTACACACACTTTTTTCCAGTGTCAGTGGTTAGTGGGGTGCTGAGGAGGCTGCTAAGAGATTCTCCCATTAACTCACTGTTTTCCCCATTGTTTACCCCAAGGACAGAGACACAAGCTCACATATACCAAGAAACCAAATTAGACAATCTATAGGATGTGCACAAAACAAGCTTTCTCTTCCCCATTTTGGGCTCACAGTGCCAAGCCCTGCTTCTTCTTTATAAATATTTTAATGATATGTTTCAAAAGAAACACACTACAGTTCTAACTTGCCCTAAGTCATTTCCAGAACCAGCTGACATGGACTCCGGGGGAGGGGTGGGGGCAGCGTTGCTCTCCTTGCCCTGGATGCCACCCACCTGCTCTGGTCTGCTCTCTGTTCCCTCAGTGCCACCTCAGAGCTCACAGCTGACATCTACTTTGTACATTTAATTTCCTCTGTAAGTGTTGCATTCTATTCCCAGCTCAGTCCTAAAAAATCATCACGATACTCCTCGACCTGCACTGCCAGCTGCCTCTACCTACTCCCATCTCCATCCCAGCCCTATCTATCTATAGGGCTCAGAGGTGACTGGATGTAGTCAGTTTCTGGAAGAGGCAACAGGCTGATATCTGGAAAATGAATTCAAAGGGCATGGGTGGAGACAACGGGCCAACTGCAGTGCCAGGGCTTGGATGAGGGATCTGTATGACCAGCACCAGGAGAAATGAGGAAGCTCTTGATTTGGAATAGAAATGCAACAGGTCAGAAATCTGAGTCACAACACAAAGATGGAGTGAAGGACATTTAAAAAACTGAAATCTATACCCTAGCCTGTTTTGCTCAGTGGATAGAACGTCAGACTGAGGGTCCTGGGTTTGATACCTCGGTTGTAAGCTCAATTCCCAGCCCTGGTTGGGGTGCATGCAGGAGGCAACGAATCAATCAATGTTTCTCTCTCTGTGTCTTCCCCCTCCCTTCCACTCTATAAAAATCAATGGAAAAATATTCTTGGGTGAGGATTAACAAAAAAATTAATAAACACCTACATTCTACCCAGTAACTAGTTTGTTTTTAAAAAAATATATATTTTATTGATTTTTTCATAGAGAGGAAGAGAAAGGGATAGAGAGTTAGAAACATCGATGAGAGAGAATCATCGATCAGCTGTCTCTTGCACACACCCCCACCGGGGATGTGCCCGCAACCAAGGTACATGCCTTTGCCCAGAATCGAACCTGGGACCTTTCAGTCCGCAGGCTGACGCTCTATCCACTGCGCCAAACTGGTCCCGACCAGTAACTAGTTTTTATACTTGATTTTCTCTATTGTTTAGTCTAGGTTAAAATAGGAAGCTACATAAGTAAAACACCTACAGCAAAGCATGCCCTTTATATGTGGACACAGTCAGAGAGGATGGAAAGAGGGGACGGGGTGGAGGGAGGAGGGGAAGAAGATGGGAGAGGAAGAGGGGAAAAGGGGGAAAGGGAGAGGGAGAAATATCGATGTGAGAGAGACACATTAATCAGCTGCCTCTCGCACAGGGCCTGACCATGGCAGTGTTTCTACAAACCAGGTGCGCGCCCTTGACTAGGAATTGAATCCATAACCTCTTGGTCTGCGAGTCAACACTCTAAGCCTGAGGATTGGTTGATTCTTGTATATGCCCTGACCACGGATCGAACCCACAACCCTGGTATTTCGGGACGACACTCTAACCAACTGAGCTACCCAGTCAAGGCTTGAAAATGTTTTAAAATAAAATAAAAACTAAAGGGGAAGTCAGTTTTATATTTCTAGTATGTATATACCAAAGACTTTAAAAATGTTCAGAGAGGGCAAGTCATTCTACCTAAAAAATAAATAAATTATATATATATGTATATATATATATATATATATATATATATATATATATATGTATTTCTTTTTTTTCAAAATATATTTTATTGATTTTATACAGAGAGGAATTGAGAGGGATAGAAAGTTAGAAATGTCGATGAGAGAGAAACATCGACCAGCTGCCTCTTGCACCCCCCCCACTGGGGATGTGCCTGCAACCAAGGTACATGCCCTTGACCGGAATCGAACTCGGACCTTCAGTCCTCAGGCCGACACTCTATCCACGGAGCCAAACTGGTTTCGGGGATAGATAGATATATATATATTTCTTTATTGATTTCAGAAAGGAAGGAAGAGGGAGAGAGATAGAAGCATCAATGATGAGATAGAATCATTGATCAGCTGCCTTCTGCACTCCCCTATTGGGAATCGAGTCTGCAACCCAGGCATGTACCCTTGACCAGAATCTAACCTGGAACCCTTCAGTCCACAGGCCGACGCTCCATCCACTGAGCAAAACTGGCCAGGGCTCATTCTACTTTTTGAAATTCAGCACAGGGACTTAGGGCAGCCTTGGGGAGCCCTGGTGCTGCCTGGAAGATATCCCATCTCTCCCACTGGACAAGCAGGAGTGCCCCTCTGCTCCACAGCACAGAATATGCAGCACACAGAAGGCATGCCAGATTGTGCCAAGTAAACAAAACCACTTCAACATCCAATGATAAAGAGTTTGACAAACAACAATAAATCATATGCTAAAACACCTCACAGCCGTTAAAGATGACTGCAAATAATTTTAGCGACATAGGGAAATGTTCATCATATAATTGCAATAATTATATAGTGAACCATTATATATTTAATAATTAGATAATAGCCATCAAATATTTAATGGTTATTTAACTATTCAAAATTCGTTATTCAGTATGACTTCCAGTTGTGCTGGAAACCAAATCAGTTTCACTGAAAAAGAGATGTTGACAGGAAGCCAGGAAGGCTGGTCAACAACCTTAATTGCTCTAACCTTTAGTTGAGATTTTGTTAGCTGAAGCAGAATCTACCTTGTCCCTTAAAGTTTCTGTTATTTCCTGCCTAAGGGCTACATGTAAATTTCTGTTTATGTTGCTTAAGATGTCTTCCCCAAAGCCTCAATAAAAGGGGATGGCAGGGCCAGAGCAGGAGTAGTTCTCCCACTAGAGTTGGACTACCGCCTGGCCCCCCAAATCGCCAAATTGAATTTCTTCAAGTCTCTTTTCATTTGTGTGCGGCCCTTCTCCAGAACCTGAACTGGAACTCTTTCTACGCGGGCCGTGAAAGAGAGTCCTATACAGTTGCATAAAAATTACACAACCATATGTAATACCCTTAGAAAAAAATAACTGGGAAGTTGAGTCTGTAAGTGGGCTGGAGACTGAGTGTTCTTGTGTTTTTATTCTCCATATTTTCTAAGAATTCTTTTCAATGAATATGTATCACTTTTTAAATGAAAAAATCTGAACTATTTTTGAGTATAACATGCTAAAAAGTTTAAAAGCATACAAAGATATACAGAATACTGATCTCTCTCACAACCCTGATCGCAACATCCCAGTGTTATTTGCCAGTCCTTGTATACTCTTCTAGTGCTGTAAAATGCATGAACAAACAGATCTGGGTACACATTCTCCCTCCTTTTTTCACAAAAGGTATCTTCCTTATCACGTTCAGTAGAGCTTGGAGATCTTCCCCATCATGCTAATAAGCTGCCTCATCCTACAAGTAAACCCAACATTGAGGAAAAGCTAATACTTAGCAGTGACCCACACTTCAAGAATTTGGCCAACAGTACTCCCCATCCTGAGGAGGGTGTCTCAGCCTCAGCACTGTGACGGGGGGGCGGGGCAATCATTCTTGCTGTGAGTATGGCTCTGCACTGCAGGATGCTGAGCAGATGTGCACTGAATGCCAATAGCACTCTCCCAACCCTCACCAAGTTGTGACACCAAAACTGTGCCCATACACAGCCACATGTCCCCTGGGGAGAATATTGTTTAAAAAGCCCCACGTAGGCATCCCTGACCTACAATAGCATTTAGTTCTTGACAAAAGCTCAAAAATAAACAGCCTGGAGACTGAAGTTTAATTCTTAAGAGAGCATCCTTCTATCCTTCATCATGTTTCTGCCCCACAGCACCGCCCCTTAAAAGAGTTTTTTAACTCATGAAAACCATACATGGTGTCAAAGCAAGCCAGAGGGAAATCATTTGAGAAAAGAAAGAAAGAAAAAAAAAAAGGGATCCCAAGTCAAATTTATAGAAAATATCCCTTTATTAACTTTTGGTCAAGAATATGTTTGCATATTTTCAGAAAACAACTCCGAGACCATGTGGATTCCTGCAACAGAGAGAAACTGACAGGAGTGCCCCAGCAATGAAGACAGAAGAGAAAGAGTTCAGAGATGGAAGACGCTGACAACGCCTTGCCATACTAGCAGACAGCAGCTGTGCGTCGCTGAAGGATGCCAAGGACCAAACCAGAGACAGTCAGACCTGCATCAATACCATTTGTCCACCAACCAGATCTGAAATACCATGGCTGACATGTACACATAAGGAACTGTTTGACATTGAAATTGGGACTCAAAAGAACTGTTGGCCCAGAAAGGAACTCACTACAGACTGATTCATTTGTCTCTCAACATAACGATTATTGTTTGTCTCAGTTTCGGTTCTTATAAGGGAATTCCTTGTATCACATGATCTAACGCATCTAGGGGAAATAATTAACAACATAAATTAATGAACAGAATCAGACCTGGAGACAGAGAAGCAGCGATCAGACTGCTAAGAGGGAAGACAGGGAAGGGTGGGGGTAAAGGGAAGAGATGAACTAAAGGACTTGTGTGCATGCATATAAGCCTAACCAGTGGTTATGGACAACAGGGGTGGGCATACATGGGGAGGGAGTTGGGATGGGAATGGGGGATGAGGACAATTATGTGATACCATAATCAATAAAGAATTTTTTTAAAAAGTTTTTTTTAAAAATCTGTTATGCTCACAAACACAGAGCTGCTGTCCCCAGAATCACTCTCTTCTGATAGCTTTGGCACTGTTACTTTGTCATTTTAGGAAGGTAGCCCCTTGCAGCCTGCCAATCTAGGTCAACTCAAGGGAAGGTGCCAGCAGGCCACGTGCTTGGCTGGCCCCTGGGGAGGAAGAATCCAAAGAAAAGCTTAAACTACAGAATCTGTCACCATCTGGAGCCACTCCCCAAACTCTGTAACCCCAGATTCTACTGCCACCTCAGTCTTCCACCTGCTTCATAGCCTACCTGACAGCTCCCCAGACTTCTCAGCACTCCTAGCCATCAACACCCCCTCCACCTTCTTTTCCTCCACTGCCCAGATGCCCTGCTGCTGACCCTTCTCCACTCTTCAGACTACTGCCCTTGTGAACAGAACCCCAGCTCCTGTGTCCTCTATACCTAATTTACTCTACACCCACCAAAACCCTCAACTCTGCAGCCACTGCCAGGCCTGTGCCAGGTCTGAGCACTGAGCAGAGTTGGCTAGTGCTGCCTGGGCCCCTGCCAGGAAACTGACTCTGTCCCCTCCCACACATGCTGCCTTCTGGGCCTCTTCCCATAGTCTGTAGAGTCCATAACACTAAACAGCTGATCTGCGGCTGCCAGTAATGCCAGTCTGCCAAAGCAGGAGGCAGCACAAGGATCCCTGGGATTCAAAACAAGCAAGAAGCCTTGTTAAATAATAAAGACTTGTCTGCCATACTTCTTTTCACCAGACAGTTATTCTAAGGGAACAAGATCCAGTCTCAAAGTATAAAGCAACAACCACCCCAGGAAGTATAAAGTTTAACAATAAAGTAAGTAGCACATGGGTTATTAAAGGAAAAATACTGGTTAAAAGGCAAAATGCTAACTTCTTCCAAAGTAAGCTTAGCTATATAAAGGCCATGAAAGGCACTCTCATTGAAAAAATAAATAAGAAATAATTTTTTTCAGAGAAATATCAATGATGAGAGAGACTCATCAGTCAGTCGCCTACTGCACACCCCCCACCTGGAATCAAGCCCACAACCCAGGCATGTACTCTGTCTGGGAATTGAACAATGACCTCCTACACAGATACTCAACCACTGAGCTACACTGGCAGTGTGAAAAGCAATCTCTTAACTATTAATTTCATATGTATTAGCTACTTTAGAGAAAAGATTATTATGGATCAGGAAAACACACACACACACACACACACACACACACACACACACAAAGCACACACATGTCGATAAAAACAAGAACTAGAAAAAAATCAGGTTACCTTTTACAGGCCGATTTCTCTGTGAGCAGCTCTGGAGAAACATACTGGGCTGTTCCTACAAACGAGTTGGCCCTGGCTGATGAAAAGAGAAAAATGGTCATGCTGAGATACAAAACACTTAACATTGTGGACGTTCCTATCAGGACATCATGGCTGACATGGCATCCCACCCCTCACACACTGTTTTGAGACCCTCTCCTCCCAGAGATGACTCCAAGGTCACCTGCTCAGTGACTTTTCCCTGGCCACCTCCCTAACTCATGTTCTCCTAGTGCCTCTCACCAACACTAGAGCAGCCTCACCCAGCATTCTCTCAGCTGGAGCGTCTCAAGGAGCCTGTGGTGCTTAACAACAATCCGGACATGCAGCAGGCATACAATGAACATGCACAGAATGCAGGAAAGGACTGGATCCCCTGGAGGGCAGGAATACCTTCTTATAACAAACTGCTCAGGGATATAAAGGGAATGAGACTCATGTGTCCCAGCTGGGCAACCTCCACAGCATACTGCTGTTTCTAGTATTGGACTGTGTGATGCAAGATTCACAAAGATCAACTGCAGAGCTGGGCTGGGTGGCAGCAGGAGCCTCTGGACCTGCCCATCACCAGAGAGAGGAGGCACTGACACCCATTCACCCCAGTGGCCCCCAATTAGGGACTTTACCAATGGCCTTGCATCCCTGACAAAGAACCATAGGCATAAGCGGCGTGCCCGCCACACTGCTCCTGAGGCATCCTACATGGAGCGTCTCTGGCATTGGGGACCACAGCCTTTCCTATGACTCTCACAGGATGAAGGATCAGAAATGCCGGTATGAGAGCCACCTACCATCCGAAAACAAATTGGTTCTCTACGGAGAGGAGCCACATATTTCACTCACAGCAACCTTCCAGGCTGGTACTGTGTAAACCAGCAGACATTTGCTGTCTACTTTTATAATTGAAGGAAATGTTCGATTTCACTGAAAGATTAATGAAAAACAGTGACTTTTCTCCTCTCCAGTGTCATGGCTGACTGGTTTCTATCTGTGAGACCAGGTAAAAACCCCAAAGAGAGCATTAGAAAATCAGAGAGGTAATCTAGTCACCTCCCCCTGAAAGTTCAGAGATAAGCTAAAAATCAAACTTCCCCAGATGCTGAAAAACCAGACCCAGAACCCATCATTGGAGAGCATGGCATCCTCTATGCCACTGACCTCCTCACCTGTAGGACACACAGTCAGGGGAAAGGAGAAAGATATTGAGCTGGGTTGCTGTTTCTATCCTCAAAGTGGTTCAAAGAAAGTGATCAGCATCCTGGGCTATGGACCACTCTGGTCACCACAAATCTGTAAGTCAAACTGAAGTGCCAGTGGGGAAGGAGGGACCTAAAGAAGTATTCCTAAGGTGTGGGGACCCTCACACTCTTTTCAAGCCAAAAGTGCAGACTGCTTGTGTCATACCCATAAACCCACACGAAGCACAGCAAACATTCACAAAATATGGTCACCTCTTGGACAGAAGATGAGAAAACAGACTACTGCAACAAATAAAAAGGAGTCTGGCCCTGGCCAGTATGGCTCAGTTGGTTGAGCATCGTCCTCTCCACTGAAAGGTTGCCGGTTTGATTCCCAGTCAGGGCACATGCCTGGGTTGTGGGCTTGATCCCCGGTAGGGGGCATGCAAGAGGCAGCTGATCTATGTTTTCCTCTCACATAATTATTTCTTTTTCTCTCCCCCTTCCTCTCTCTATTTCTAAAACTCAATTTTGTTTTTAAAAAGGGAGTATGCAAGCGAGATTTATCCCAAGAATGCAAAGGTGATTAAATATATATAAATCAGTCAATGTAATACATCATATCATTAAAATTATGGACAAAACCATATGGTCAACTCAATAAATGCAGAAAAAGCATCTAACAAAAATTCAACATTCCTTCATGATAAAAATACATACAATAAGAAGAGAAAGAAACCTCCTCAACCTGATAAAGGCATCTATGAAAAAGCCAAAATTAACTTGTTACTCATAGTGAAAGATTAAGAGCTTTTCCTAGGATTAGGAACAAGACAAGGATGTCACTCTTGCCAGTTCTATTCAACATAGTGGAGGTTCTACCGGGGCAATTAAGACAGGAAAATTAAATAAAAGGAATCCAGATTAGAAAGGAAAAAGTAAACTACCTCTAAACACAGATGACATGACCTTATACACAAACATCAACTGTATTTCTTTTTTCTCTTAAACCCTTACTCAGTGTGTTTTGTGCCTTTGGTATTGTATCTAAGAAACCATTCCCTAACCCAAGGTCATGAAGATTATTCCTATGCTTTCTTCCAAGAGTGTTAATAGTTTTAGATCCTAGATTTAGATCTCCAATCAAAGTAAACATCTTAAGTTAACTTTTGTGTATGGTGTGAGGCAAGGGGTAATAATGCTTTTGATAATTTGGTCATCACTGGAGGACGATGGTGAACCAATTCATTATTTTCAAAAGTGGCAAGTAAAGGGGAAAGAGCAAGCATTTATCCTGTTTTTTCCTCCACAATTAATAGGAAGTAGTTAAGGAAATAGTTGCTATGGGGAAATTTCTCTTTAAAAAAAGAATTCCAGCCGAAACCAGTTTGGCTCAGTGGATAGAGCGTTGGGTCTGCGGACTGAAAGGTCCTGGGTTCAATTCCAGTCAAGGGCGTGTGCCTTGGTTGTAGGCACATCCCCAGTGGGGGGTGTGCGGGGGGGGGGGGGGGGAGAGGGGATGGCAGCTGATGGATGTTTCTCTCTCATCCATGTTTCTAACTATCCCTTTCCCTTCCTCTCTGTAAAAAATCAATAAAATATATTTTAAAAAAGAAAAAGAGAATTCCATCTCATGAGTAAAAGAATCTACACTAGCTAACTGACCGTACCTTTGCTATGCCCACAGCCAATCAGAGTATGCAAATTAACCCAACAAGATGGAGGTTAATTTGCATATGCAGGTGTGAAGCCTGCTAAGAGGGGAAGCGGGTGGCGGAGGGAGCTACTGGAGTGATGCTCCAGACAGAAGCGAGGACTTGCTGGCTCTGGGTGGCCTAGGAGCTGGGATGTGCTGGCTCCCGGGCAGCTGGGGCAGGGAGCAGGCACTTGCTGGCTCCCGAGTGGCTGGGAGTGAAGCCAGGGCCTATTCTTGCACGAATATTGTGCAATGGGCCTCTAGTTAGACTATAATCATTCTGTATTCTTACTGAATTAATGAATCCTAGCCATTATGGCTTTAAAGGGCTGTTGACAACATAGAGATATGAATGGGTGTCAAATGCTTCCTAATAAAGAAGGCACCACCACCAGACTCTGGTGTGAGATAATTGAACCTGAATGTGATCAAAGTGACCAGCACCAACTGCCAATTTACAGGATGTACAGAGGAGAGGGGCATGTGACATGACTCCAAAGAGATGTAATCAGGAAACTTTAGAAGACAAATGACCTGGTTTCTTCAACAGACTGCAAGGGAAATAAAGATTGGGGGTGGGGGGGCTGTGGAAGCCACAGACTAAAAGAAATTTAAGAGATAAATTAACTAAACTCAAATGTAGGAACTTTGGTGGTCCACAAAGGGAATGTGCAGAAAAGGTGCAGCTGGAGTGACAACGATTTAGGCTCCGAAGCCTTCCCCTGGATCCCCCCTTCCAGACCCACCCGTCCTGTTTAGTAAGTGAAGCCTCCACATCTGGCTGTATACCAGAAAGCCTACATATCTCAGAACACAGGTTTCCAGATACAAACCCAAGTCTGAACCTCCAGCATCCCCAAGTAACTAAAGCCTTTTTGCAAAGGGAGCAAACACCAGAGACACAGCCACAGACAAGGGGCTTACTCAACATGATTAAGCTGTCCTCACCCAGATATGTCTATGGTACCCTTGTGCAAGGTCAGAAGTCACAAGTCCTCTGTGTTGGAAATTGTTCATCAATCCCGTATGCCCTCAACAATCCCCACTGTGTCCCACCCTGCCCATTATAGACAGGGGGACTCTGACCTAACAAGCAGCAGTGAGAGAGATGCAGGGCTCATCCCCTTTCAGGAGCAACCTATTGTGACAAAGTTCTGTAAAGATAGACAATCTGCCTCCTGCTGGGAGGAAGGCAAACATTTTCAATGTCACTTAGTAACTTGCACAGTGCCCTTAGCTTCCCCCAAACTTCACCATAAAGGGCTTTATCTTCTCTCTACACTAACGCTTGACAACAATTTTCAGAAGTAAAATTGCCATTCTTTATACTTCCAGTTTGAGAGCCATTCAGCCCCTGCTGAGATGTCGCTGGCTAGCTAGGAAACCCAGGACACTCCTTCTGGATGATACAGCTGTCATAATACATAATCCAATGCTAAGAATCACCCGAGGGGAACAGTGATTAGGATGGTTTGCAATCAGAAATATGCACCTGACCAAGTAAAAATCAATCCCTGTTCTGTGATTCTGTAGAACCTCACTATAATGGGTGTGCCTGGGCCACCACTGCAGCTGCACACAGGATTTCCTCACAGGCACATGTGAGGAGAAAAAACGCTGGCAGGCACGGGAATAGAGGGATAGTCCCCCACTAACCTCCAGTTACAAACTACAGTTCCAACAGGAAGAGCTGCGAGCTGACCATACTGATCCCATGTACTTGCATGGGCGACCAAGAACAAATGTGGCACCCCAGCACTTTCTAAAACTAAGGAGGGTGAGCCACAGGGCACTCAAAAGTGCTCTAAAGGACCTATGACTACAACATGCAGAAAGCACCTGGTGACCCAGCACCCCCACTCAAGACCAGGCAGACCAACCATAGCAGCTAGGAAGCCCCTCCCACCCCACCCACTAGATCAGACATACAGCTTTCCCTGTGAAAACTCAAAGCATGTTTACAATAACAAAGTATTACAAACATCTGTCACCACATGAACATGTGCAATTCACTGAATTTCGGAAAGGTTATTTGTGATCTAAACACTAAGCAGGATTGACTGGAAATAAAGCACTCACACACCTTGTTTACTCTCTGGGGATAATACTTTTGCTGTTCCAAAATCTGTGATCTGGATGTGCATATCTTCATTTAACAAAATGTTTTCTGGTTTCAGGTCCCTGTGAAAGCAGATTTTTTATATTTGACATAAGTATTTAAAACAGCAATGTTATTACATATTTTAAATTTTGCCAAAAAGAAAATAAACTGGTTAATGCTAATCTTTATAGGCTAACAATCAAGAATATAAATCTAAAGTTCATAATGAACAAATATCAGTTGCATATAATGAAGACATTCAAATTACATCACTTCAAAACTGCCATCTATTATTTTTAATAATCTTTTTAAAGTATAATTTATCATTTTAACTCATAAAATAGCTTTTATACCTATTATTGTAATCATTTCACAAAATATGGAAATCAAACTATCATGCTATACAACTTAATTTATACATAGTCCAATTTTTAAAAGTCAGTTAAAAAAGCTCTGGCCAGGTAGCTCAGTTGGTTAGAGCATTCTCCTGATATGCCAAGGTTGTGGGTGCAATTCCCAGTCAGAGCACATACAAGAAGCAACCAATGAGTGCATAAATAAGTGGATAGCAAATCGATGTATCTCTCTTTCTCCCTTACCCTCTCTCTCAAATAACTTTTTAAAAAAGAGCTTATTTGAATACTTTCAATTTGACTTTGTCAGAAAGTCATGGAAAACAAGACCAGAAGAAAGTACACACAAAAGCCTTAAGTAACAAAATAAAAGCAGCAATCAAAATGGGTAAGAAAACTGCTAGCCTGGCAAAAAAAGACATAATTTCATCTAAAGGCTGAGGGTCTGTGAGGCTCTCAATGTCAGAGTGATGTGAACTCTTCATAGTTTTCACGAGGCATCCCACCCTCCATTAAATAAACCACAGCTGCCCTCGAGCTGAGAGCAGAGCCCAGCCCTCAGCTTGGTACCTGTGAATGATGCCCCTGCCATGCAAGTACTCTAGCGCAGACACCATCTCAGCTGTGTAAAACCGGGTGCACGTCTCATCGAATGAACCAATTTTGCGAATGTATTTAAGTAGTTCTCCATTTTTGGCATAACTAAGGCCAAAATCTAAATATTGAGTAGTTAAGGAAGGATGCAAAAACCATTTTTAAAAAACCTTAACCCAATAGAATTTTTTTAAATTAATGGAAACTGAAGGTACCTGTGGCCCCCTTGAGTCAGACTCTGTCAGGTTCAGACTCATGGCCAATGGGAATCCCAGACCCCTGCTCCAGGGCGAGGCACAAGGATAAGTTTTTCACCACGAACACAATGACATGAGTCTTTCAGCCCAAGTGACCCTTCTGGATTCCACTGGCCCAGAAGGCACATGTGGCACCAGTGAAGGGAAGCGGCTAGAGATTGCAGTCAAATGCCTCTCTGCAGGCTTCAGCCAAGGTATGTGTATGGGAGTGGGGGAGGGGGCGTGTTTCCATCATAATCTAGTCTCCACACCTGCACAATGTGCATACATTTACTGAGCACCACCTGCATTCTACATGCTGAGCTAAGAGCCAATTCATGTAAAGGTTTCTCAAATTAACGCTCTGTTTCCAAGTATAAAGTGACAAGTTTTGTAAGAGAAATCCCCTTTTATTAACTTCTTGCTTCAATTTATTTATTAGGCACCCAATGGGGAGAGACTGGAGGAACACTGTCATCTTTCCTCTGAACATCACTACATTGTGATATGTTTTATATCTACTTTCCATTTTCCAAAGAGGGCTAATGGTTGCAAAAATAAATGGATCCCATATAACTTCTTCCTCCTAGAAACACCAAACATATGTGCCTATTAATGGAAATCTTCAGGGACTTCACCACTGGCAGCTAGGGACAGGAAAGGGTTGGCCAGTGCTCAAGGTGTTCCATCTTGTTTCCATCTGCCATGGTACTACCATTCCCACCAAGAAGGAACCTGAAGCTGCAGTACAGCAAGGGCAATCCCAGGAGGAAGGGACCAACCACCAAGATTGCCCAAACCTGCCCTGAATCCAGCCCAACCTGTGACCACTCAAGCCCTTCTAACCAGGACATCTAACCAGAACCTGAGGCAAAAAACAAACCTTACTTCTGAGAAATTCAAAAAGGGTCCCAACCAGGCCCCCTTCCCTCCTGGTCCTGCTCTGCCCCCTCCACAGGGAAGGTTAGAGATTCTGGCTTACCCAAACCCAAGCAGGAGCTCAGCACTGCCTGGGCAGGTGGCCTCACCTGGAATAGCCAAGGAGCTTCACCAGTTAGAAATGCCATCTCCCAGGAGCCTACATTCCACAGGGGCTCAGCCATAGCCACAGTAACAGCCCCTTTTCCTGCTTCACAGGTTCTGCTCCTTGCCTGACCATCCTCTGTGTTCCTATTTCCTATTTAAGAGATACTTCTAAATAGTTCTGTGCTCAACTGTGAAGCTAAGGTGATTGATAGGTTTGGAATATGACAGATGTTAAGGATCACAGCTCCAAGCCCATATTTCCCTCCAACCACACACATTTCTCATCCTCCAGAAATACTTTTTCAGATCTTATTGGTCCATTCCCCATACTACCTCCCTCAGCAAAGCCATAGGGCACTGAGGAAATCTGTTCTAGTGCATGGAGTGGGTCATTCCAGGATGAGCACAGATCAGGCCTTTTGCAGAGCCTGGTGAGCCCAAAGCCTGCACGTTGCAGAGGAACCTGGCTCAGAGACATTAAGCAACCCAACTGATTCAAGGTGATAAAGCCAAGGGAGGACAGGACTGAAGCCCAGCCTCCTGAGGCCTAGGTGCACTGCTCCTGTCCCCAACCTGCAAGAGGGGACACACAAAGATGAGCAGGTGGGGGACGGAGGAAGAATGCAGGCTAATCGAGTAACGGCCTCTGAAATCCTCAACCTCCATCTCTGCAGGAGAGAAACACATCACTGCAGCCTGGAAGGAAGGGTGGGCTTGAGCTCAGCAGTGTCTTGGAGCTTGTCTCACTGTCCAGAGCCCCCATTTCCAGGCTGCAACAGGAAGGTCACAGACTCTGCCTTACCTGTCCTGAGGGGAGTTTGCCCCTTCAGTCACTCCAGTGTCTCCTCAATGTGTAAATCATGGCTAAAGGGAAGTACTGTTTTAGCTTGGTGGTCCTGGTTGATAATATCAGGCAGAGACCTGCTCTGGGTAAGGAGAGGAGCAGGTATGTGTGGGTGGAGCAAAAAGGCTGGGTAGGGGTCAGCTATTTGAGCTGATTTTACTATTCTTGGTCCCTTAGGTATTGATCACTTGTGTTACCTAACTCCTGCATGGAAATTTAAAGTCCCCGAAGACAAAGCCCTCATCTCATTTACCAGCACACTGCCATCACCCAGCATTCACCAAAGACTTCTCAATAAACAAAAGAACAAATTCAGTTGACAGCTGATGAAGCTAGAAAATGGTGTTAAAAGGGGAACAGGACTAACCCAGAAGAATTGTGTATAGAGAGGGAGGGGAAAGGAAGCCTGAATCGGTGGGAATGGAAGATGGGGAAGGCAAACTCTCAGGCACTGAACCAACTTTGGAAGTGGTGTGGTGAGGAGACCTTGAAGAAAAGAGGGGGGAAAACAAATACAAAGACTGTGGTTTAAACCTGAACAAACTCTTAACCTACTCCATTTGACAGTCCAACCGCTCTTGGCTGAGTAGAAACCAAGAGCATTTGCTGAGATTGAACACAGTCACCAGGCAAACAGGGGCTGAGGGAAGTCTTGGTTTAGAAGAACTACAGTAAAGGGACTAAGAAGAGAGGAACTACTGGCCAGTCTGGCTATATGGTGGATAAGCCCAAGATAAGCTGCATGACATAGACGTGTGGTCCACCCTGACTGTCACGGTACCCTGCCTCCCTTATCCCTAAGCAAAGGTAAAGGAGTTAGAGAAGTCAGGAAACATAAGATGCCCTCAAACAAAGCAAAGAATCAGCGAGTATGATATCTCTAATAGAGATGCAGCTGCAAGCCATGAAGAGCCAGAAGCACTGGGTGATCAGAGCTTTTTTAAAAAAGGCACGGAGAGCAGACTCCACAGGGAGCAAGGGGAGGGAGGTTGGAGAACTCAGGGAGAGGACAGCATCTATGTATAGGGAGAAAGGGTTTGGACTCCTATGGGTCACTCCCTGAACTTCTCACCCGGGGACTGAGCCTTGTAAAAATGTCCCTTCCAACCAAACCCCACATGCCTGAGCCAAAGAAGTCAGACAGTTGCCCACCTTCTAGGAGCCCCAGGTGCCCAAGATCATTCTTCCTCTCACTTCCCTGTTTTGAGCACAGGACTTGACACCTGATAGATATTCCAAGGATGCTGGTAAGAGGAATGAGGAAAGCCTTTGAATAAATGTATAGCAACCATGGGGTTAAAATAATAAAAATCCTTTATATACAATGCTTATCGATAAAAAATAAAAAATAAAAAAATGTTTGTGATGGTCTCCCATGAAGTAACCCAGGGGGCCACAGCCATGCTATGAATTCCTTTGTATTTAGAATACACAGCCTTTTTCCTTTCCAGGAGAAGGGACTACTTGCAAAAACAACAATGTTGTCATGATGCCAAACCAATAGGGCTCACTGTGTGATTTCAGAACGCTTTGACTATTCAAAGGATACACAGCTTTTCATCATCCTGAAACGTGAAGTAAAGTTTAACAAAGAAGGGGTGATCCAGGCGCGACATCACATCTCTCTCTCTGGTTACATACGGGACCTTGTTCTCTTTGATAATGTGACGTTTCTCTAGAATTTTAACTTAAGGTAAAAGAGAAGCAAGTTACTATGATTTGAAACGGTAAGAAAACACTAAAGACACAACTCATAAAGTTTAAATTTTTGGCATAAATTCAAATTTTTCACATAACGTGGCTACTGACTTCATAGTCTCTAAGACAGACCAACAGTGTCCTCTCCTCTAAAATCAGCACAGAAATCCCCAAGCGCTAGGCAGTGCCGAGTGGCCATGTGCCCAGAAGTGTACTGTCCCTGCATCCCAGACAAAGATTGCTGGAGTTAGTACTTACTAGCATATTCCCTTGAGGTTGCCAGTTCTCGGGCCAGAACAACCTGGTTTAGGAAGAAAAGAGGGAAAGAGGAAAAAAACACTAAATGTAACCAGGGCATTGAGTTTCACAAGTTACCCAGCAACCAATCACACAAGCTACCCCACCCCCATTGTAAAATTACATTTAAATATTTTTATCCTGTGTTAACAAATACAGCTGAATGTCAATGACAAAGTTAATTCATTCCAAGAGTTAACAGCAAACACATCTCTCTACTGTTTCCATAAGGTTCTTCATCAGCTGCCAATACTCCCCATTGTGCAGTGAAGTGCATGTGTAGGAACATCTAGACCTGTGTCACCCTCCCCAAAAGTAAGAAGCAGCAACAAATAATACCTCCACAGGTATGTATTAGGAATGTCTTAAAAAATAACTTTAAAAATATGCCCTCAGTATATGTTCATTGCAAAAAGTAACACTGTATGAGGCTTTTTCAAATAATTGTTACCATACATCTCATTTGATGCTGCTCTCAGACACCATAAGTACCATCTCTGCTATCAAGGGCACAGGAAATGAAATCACAGTGGCCTGCGGACAGTGGCTCCTGGGAGTCCTACACCCTCATCAGAAGTGCAGTCACACTCCAAGCTGTGTTCTCTCTGTGGTACACCTGAGTCTGATGCTCAAACTCTATTTGAGGGACAGAGTGCCAACGAGGCATCACACAACATGGAAAAGGCCTTTCTACATAAGGAAACCTTAGTTGCAACCTAAGCACCAACTTCCAAATGCCTAATGAGCCCAGTTTGACGATGTACTGGGTGGCCCCCACCACTGCCAGCTGGTACAAACGTCTCTTCAAAGATACCTGCAGGGGGAAGGCCCGAGGACCAGAGAAATAGATGAAAACCTGCCCAACTCCTGGAGTATCCCTGGGCCTTCTGGGAAGACATCAGGAGGCCACAGCCGGGTTCATCTGGCCCCTGAGTGTGAGTTAAATGCCAGTACAGAATTCTTCACCAGACTCAATCCTGGAAAAGTACTGTGTAAAATGCCCTGCAGTTATTAAGGATGAGGCTGGATTGTACATACTCAAGTGTAAAGATATCAAAGATCTTTCCAGAGGATGTACCTATGTGGACTGTTCTTACAAGCTGGGGAGTGATGGGGGAGAACTGCTTATGTATTTATGCAATGTTAAATTTCTGCCGGGACAGGTTTGGCTCAATGGATAGAGCGTCGGCTTGGGGACTGAAGGGTCCTAGGATTGATTCCGGTCAAGGGCATGTACCTTGGTTGCGGGCATATCCCCAGTAGGGGGTGTGCAAGAGGCAGCTGATTGATGACTCTCTCATCGATGTTTCTAACTCTCTATCTCTCTCCCTTCCTCTCTGTACAAAATCAATAAAATATATATTTTTTAAAAATTTTCTTCACAGGATTAGACTAGCTATGTAAGTAAAAAGAACTGTTAAGGAGTACTAATATTTAAATGGAAACTTTTCTGAAGGAGATAGTCATCTTTCTGTTGTGTGTGAATTCTGTACTTCCATGCAGGTTTCCTATGGACATAGGGCAGGGAGTGCCCCTCTTCCACAGGACATGACTTGACACTGCTCTCCCCCCACCGCCCCCACCACACACCACTCGGGCTGATTACAGAACTAATCTGGACATCAAGATCTGCCTCATAAAGCCAGACATGGAGGAATTTCACAAATAAGTCCTCATTTTCCAGTCAAAATAAATGTCCATTGAAGTAAAGTTCTTTTACTGGAATGCTGTAAGAAACCATGCAGAATACCAAGGCTCTCTTCAAAATAGCTTCGTCCTCCTAAAAGGATCTCTAAGTACCATAAGGACTGGGGATTATCCTCACAGTTGAAGTGTTTTTGTTTTGTTTTTGATTAGTCCTCATCTGAGGATAATTTTCTTTTCATTTTTAGGGAGAGTAGAAGAAAAAGGGAAAGACAGAGAGAAACATCGATGTGAGAGAAACACATCAATTGGTTGCCTCCTGCATGAGCCGGGCCGGGAAAGAGCCTGCAACCAAGGTACATGACCCTTGACTGGAATTGAACCCGGGAGCCTTTGGTCCGTACGTTAGTGCTCTATCCACTGAGCCAAACAAGCTAGGGCTGAAGGTTTTTATTCTACCCTGTTTCCCCAAAAATAAGACAGTATCTTATATTAATTTTTTCTCCCAAAGTTGCGCTAGGTCTTATTTTCAGGGGATGTCTTATCTTTCCATGCGCTAGGTCTTATTTTCGGAGGATGTCTTATTTTCGGGGAAACTCGGTAAGAACACAATTCTTTCATAATTTAAACAAAAACTGCTAATTTTTAAAAATCTAAATCAAAAGTATAAAGGGAGTCTTGGCTGGTTTGGCTCAATGGTTAGTGTGTTGGTCCCCAGACCAAAGGGTCCTAGGTTCAGTTCCCTGTCAAGAACATGTACCTCGCCGAAACCGATTTGGCTCAGTGGATAGAGTGTTGGCCTGCAGACTAAAGGATCCCAGGTTTGATTCCGGTCAGGGGCATGTACCTTGGTTGCAGGCAAATGCCCAGTTGGGGGTGTGCAGGAGGCAGCTGATCAATGTTCTTCTCTCATCGATGTTTCTAGCTTTCTGTCCCTCTCCCTTCCTCTCAGTAAAAAATCAATAAAATATATTTAAAAAAAGAAAAAAGAACATGTACCACGGTTGCAGGTACCCCAGCCCCAGTAAAGGGCACCTGTGAAAGACAACCAATTAATGTATCTCACATCTCTCTCTCTCTCTCTCTTAAATATATTTTTATAGAGAGGAAGGGAAAGGGATAGAGAGTTAGAAACATTAATGATGAGAAACATCAGCTGCCTCCTGCACTCCCCCTACTGGGGATCGAGCCCATAACCAAGGTACATGCCCTTGACTGGAATCCAGGAGCCTTCAGTTCTTGGGCCAATGCTCTATCCACTGAGTCAAACTGTCAGGGCTTTCTCTTTCTAGAAATCAATGGAAAAAAATATCCTCAGGTAAGGATTAAAAAAAAAAAAAAAAAAAGTTTAAGGACAGCAAAAATTAACATTAAAACAATGTTGACAATATAAGTGAGCTATAATATTTTATGTTCTTTGCATTTTAAAATATTTTATAAATGTAAAAAGAGAAAAGGAAAACAAATTTCACGTAAGGTTTCTTCACAAAAGCCAGGCAAGGAAGACTCATTGTTCAGAAACCCTGCTTCTTTAGGGGCCTCAAGCACCACCCTGCTGCGACCATAATGCATGCTGAGCGCAGCCTGGAGACCAGGGCCACAGGGGAGCTATCTTTCAATGAAGTCACAGATTTAGACTGTGCACCGCAGCTGGAGAACAAGTACTCTAGCCTCCACCAAGCTTGCAGCAAGCCTCCAGCACTGCCATAGCCACATAGAGCTGACACTTCAACAAAGGAGCCGATTTGAACCTTCACTCCTTTGCTGCAAGAGGAAAAATACCATAGGACAGACACAACTCACTCAAGGAGCAAAAAAGAGTTACCTTGAGTGCGACTTGACAGTGCCATAACAACATTTGTTTATAAAACAAATGACACAGAATCTAGAGGCCAGCAGGTCTTGGTCTGTAACTCTAGCAAGTGTCAAGAATGTAACGCTTTGCATATTTTAAAATAAAGGTCTTTAAATGTTTCCCCAAAAACTCTTGAGGAGATACTAATACCAATACTAACTTTAAAAAAATATATATTTTTTTTATCAATTCCAGAAAGAAAGGGAGAGAGAGAGGGAGATAGAAATATCAATGATGAGAATCATGGATTGGCTGCCTCCTGCATGCCCCCCACTAGGGATTGAGCCCACATCCCGGGCATGTACCCTTGAGTGGGAATCGAACCCAAGAACCTTCAGCCTGCAGGCCGATGCTCTATCCACTGAGCCAAACCAGCTGGGGCCCAATACTAACTTTAAAAAATATATATTTTTATTGATTTCAGAGAGGAAGGGAGAGAGAGAGAAACATCAACAATGAGAGAGAATCATTGATCGGATGCCTCCTGCACATCCTCTACTGGGGATTGAGCCTGAAACCTGGGCATGTGCCCTAACCAGGAATCAAACCATGACCTCCTGACTCATAGGTTGACATTGAACCACACTGGCCAGGACCAATACTAACTTTTAATCTAAGGAACAGAAAAGCTTTCCAGAGTCTTGCCAATGTGACACAAAGACATGTAATGTTACTGCTGATGCCTCGTTTCAATAAAATGAACTGCCATTTAATAAAAATAAAAAAGATCAAATGATGCCTTTTAAAGCTTGCAACTACAAAATCATGGTTTAGATATTTTAGCCACATGATCTACTTGTGGCCCCAAGTCACCTTCAGAATAGAAGAGGAACCCCAAGAGGCCTGAAAACCCTCCTCCGGGGAAGAACACCACCTCGTATCTGGTTCTCCCAGTTCTGAGCCTGGAAAGTCAGCCTATCTAAGGAAAACACACTTATTCAACAACAGCAGCATGTACTCACTGTTGAAAAAGATCCTTCACCAAGAATTTTCCCAAATTTGAAGTCTTCTGGCCGTTTCTTCCGAGGCTGTGGTGGCGGCTGTGCAGCATGTTGCAGTGAGTTGGCACTTGGTCGGGACTCGGTTGCAGTGCTGTCCATGGTGGGGCCCTGCCTGCTACCACCGCTGGGAACAACAGGGGCCGTGCCGGAATCAGTCTGGGTCCTCACCATTGATGGGGATGGGCAGGAACATAACACCACGCTGGACTGAATAGGAATGGTGTCATACTGGTGGATCCAGGAAAAAGAGATAAGATTCAAAGCAGCTCTTTTTAAATGCATGAACTCAAGTGTTGACATTGTTGAAACACAAAGTAATACAGACAGGCTATCTGACATTGTGCCACATGGCTCATGCTATCCTCCTCTCCCAAGTTCCTTTCCTGCTCAAATCCCAGCCCTCCCTGTCTTGCTTTCCCAATAACTCTACCACCCAGTACCAATCTGCCCTCCTCCTCCTCCCTTAGCAATGCATGAGTTCCCAACACACACCCCACCCCACTCAATGGCCAGTTAGCCTGCCCATCACCGCCCAGCTTAAATACCATCTGCAGCCAACCCTTCAAAAAGAAAGTCAGTCCAAACCTTGGGATAACAGTATATACTGTTTCAGGACCCGGGCCCTGTTCACCCACCCATAGCTGATATAAGACTGGATATATGTGAAGGCACTCAATTAGGGCTTGAACAAACAGAATGGCTTGAGCCTGCATCCCACAGCCAAATAGAATGTTAACCACGCATTCCTGGAACAGTGAAGCACAACTTAATGGAAAGAAGAGTCCAAGAAATACCAATTACACATAAAAGTGATAGTTGATTAAAAAAAAAAAAAAAAAAAAAAAAAAGCTTAACAAAGCAAAACAATAGTGGCATAATTGGTTAACAGTAACTGATTTAACCGGGACTGGTTTGGCTTAGTGGATAGAGTGTCGGCCTGCGGACTGAAAGGTCCTGGGTTCGATTCCGGTCAAGGGTATGTACCTTGGTTGCGGGCACATCCCCAGTAGGGGGTGTGCAAGAGGCAGCTGATCAATGATTCTCTCGCATCGATGTTTCTAACTCTCTATCCCTCTCTCTTCCTCTCTGAAAAATCAATAAAATATATTTAAAAAAACAAAACAAAAAACAAACACACAAAAAACAACAGTAACTGATTTAGAGCCAACTGCCCTCTAAACACCAAATTTAAAAACTTAATTTTAAAAATTATTCAATGTGATCCGTATTAAAATTCCAACTGGCTTCTTTGTAGAAATTGACAAACTGATTCTAAAATTCACATAGAAATTCAAGGGAGCCAAAATAGCCAAAAACAATCTTAAAACACACACACACACACACACACACACACAAAAAACAAACAAACAAACAAAAAAAAACACACACACAAAAAAAAAAAAAAACCCAAAGTTGGAGGGCTCACATGTCCGGATTTTAAAACTTACCAAGAAATTATAGTAACCAAGACAAGATGGTACTGGTAAAGTATAGGCACATAGATGAATAGAACAGCGTCTAGAAATAAACCCTTACATCTACTATCGCCAACTGATTTTTGAAATGGATGCCAAAACTCTTCAATAAGAAAAAAAACAAAACAGTCTTTTCAACAAATTGTCCTGGGACAACTGGATATCTACATACAAAAGAATGAAATTGGATGCCTTTCCCACATCATTTACCAAATTTAATTCAAGTGGATCAAAGATCTACCAGTAAGAACTAAAACTATAAAATTCTTAAGAGAAAAATATAGGAAAAATATGAAAAAAATTCATAACCTTGGCATTGGTGTCTAAGATATGAAACCAAAAGCACAAGAAACAAAAGAAAAAAACAGGTCAAAGGGACTTCATTAAAATTAAAAACTTCTGTGCTTCAAAGGCACCATTAAGAAAGTGAAAAGACAACCCATAGAACAAGAGAAAAATATTTGCAAGTCATATCTGATAAAGAACTTATAGCCAGACTATATAAGGAACCCTTACAACTAAAAACAAAACAAACAAAAAAACCCCACACACATACAATTATTAAAAAAAAAAAAAAAAAAAGGCAGTGGATTTGAATAAACAGGAAGGAAGAAAGGAAGGAAGGAAGGAAGGAAGGAAGGAAGGAAGGAAGGAAGGAAGGAAGGAAGGAGAAAATCCAAGATGGCTGCACAGGTAAACACCTAGCTGCAGCCACACACAACAATTTCAATAAAATACAACTAAAATATAAAATGGACATTACCCAGAGAGAAAATCCAAGATGGCTGCACAGGTAAACACCTAGCTGCAGCCACACACAACAATTTCAATAAAATACAACTAAAATATAAAATGGACATTACCCAGAACTACAGGAAAGTCGACTGACTGGAAATTCTATAAGGAGAAAACCAGAAGGAAGAGCGGAGGAGCTGTAAAAGCCTGAGGTACGGAGACACGCGGCGTGCGCGGAGAGGACGGAGCCGGAGAGGAGGGGCGGCTGAGTGCCTGGCTGGCGTTCCCTAGGGGGAAGGAGATAAAAGCTCCGACTGTGCTGAACCCCAGACCCGACAGCGCTGAACCCCAGTTCTAGGCCAGACCCCGGAGATCCAGGCTCATCCATAGGGAGCTGGGCTGTAAGGCGGAACCCCGGGAGAGAAGCAAAAGGAGGTCCCGGAGGCGCGCACATTGCACGCAGAAAAGGGCCAGGACCGGTTTGGCTCAATGGATAGAGCGTCGGCTTGGGGACTGAAGGGTCCCGGGTTCGATTCCGGTCAGGGGCATGTACCTTGGTTGCGGGCATATCCCCAGTAGGGGGTGTGCAGGAGGCAGCTGATCGATGACTATCATCGATGTTTCTAGCTCTCTATCTCTCTCCCTTCCTCTCTGTACAAAATCAATAAAATATATTTAAAAAAAAAAAAGAAAAAAAAGAAAAAAAGAAAAGGGACAGTTGGCTGTGCCGTGGGATTGCCCTGGCGAGAAGGAGACAAAAGCTCCGGACTGCTCTGAACGCCACCTCCAACCCCACTTCCAACTAAACTGAATCCCAGTTCTGGGCTCATTGGGGGAGAGCCTAGATTGTTTAGGAGCAGGCGAAAATCGAGGGCACCTTTCTCTCAGAGGTGCTTGCAACAAGTACTGAAGAACCCTGGGGATTACTGAGACTCAGGAACTGCATAGGGCGTGGCTGACGGAAGCCAAGGCTGTAGGCTCCACCCTGAAACCCCGCCCCATCAGGGAAGCTGCAAAAATGCCAAGACAACGAAATAGATCACAAACGAAAGAAATGGAGGACAAAAAGTGACTGGATATAGAGTTCAAATCTACGCTTATAAGGTTTTTCAAGAATTTCCTAGAAAAGGTCGATAAGACCTATGAGGATATGAAAAGGGATCAACTAGAATTAATTAGGAATCAACAAGAAATGATAAGGGATCAACAAGAAATAAAGAATACATTGTCTGAAATAAAAAATATCATACAGAGTCCTAAAAACAGAATGGAAGATCGCAAGAATCAAGTCAAAGATTTGGAACATAAAGAGCCAGAAGACACTCCTCCGCAGAAGCAAGAATGCAAGAGAATCCAGAAAATTGAAGATAATGTAAGAAACCTCTGGGACAACTTCAAGCGAACCAACATCAGAATTATGGGGGTCCCAGAAGATGAGAGAGAGCAAGATATCGAAAACATACTGAAAGAAATAGTGACAGAAAACTTCCCCCGCCTGATGAAAGAATTAGACTTACAAGTCCAGGAAGCGCACAGAACTCCAAACAAAAGGAATCCAAGAGGACCACACCAAGACAAATCATAATTAAAATTCCAAGAGCAAAAGACAAAGAGAGAATATTAAAAACAGCAAGAGCAAAGCAGGTAATTACCTATAAAGGAGCACCTATACGATTGTCAGCTGATTTCTCAACTGAAACCATGCAGGCCAGACGGGAATGGCAATAAATATTCAAGGTGATAAATAGTAAGAACCTACAGCCAAAAATAATCTACCCAGCAAAGCTATCACTCAGAATCGAAGGCCAGATAAAGAGCTTCACTAATAAAAAAAAAAAAAAACTAAAGGAGTTCATCACCACCAAACCAGAATTATATGAATTGCTGAAGGGGGTTCTTTCGGAAGAGAAAGTAAATAAAGATAAAAATTATGAACAACAAAAACGTAACTATCAACAAGTGAATCTAAAAACCAAGGAAATTAAAAAAAAACAAAAAACTGATGAACAATATTAACTGTTGAATATAATAGAATCAGAGATATGGAAGGGGAGTGAACTGACGATTCTTGGGGAAAAGGGGAGAGGGGGATGTGGGAAGAGACTGAACATAAACTGTGCACCTATGGATGAGGACAATGGGGGGTGGGGAAAGGGCAGAGGGTGGGATGGGAACCTGGTGGAGGAGAGCAATGTAGGGGGGGAGAGGAACATTTGTAATAATATGAACAATAAAAATTTATTTAAAAATTTAAAAAAAAGAAAGACAAATGGCCAAAAAACACATGAAGATGCTCAACATCACCAGACATTATTGAAATACAAATCAAAGCCACAATGAGATTCCACTTGAACCCACTAGGATGGTGAGAGCAAAAATGACAGATAATAAGTTCATGGGAATGTAGAAAAATTGGATCCCTCACACATTGCAGCTGGTAATATAAAATGGTGCAAGCACCTTGGCAAATAGTATGACAGTTCCTCTAAAAAAAAAAACAAAAACAAAAAAAGAGGTACCATATAACCCAGCAATTCCAGTACTTAGTACCCTGTTTCCCCGAAAATAAGACAGTGTCTTATTTTAATTTTTGCTCCCAAAGATGTGCTAGGTCTTATTTTCAGGGGATGTCTTATTTTTCCATGAAGAAGAATGCGGTACACATTTATTGTTAAGTGAAAATAAAGGAAATTTATTACCTGTATACGATATGGCAGTATGGTAGTTGTCAACACAAACCAGACAAACTGTGAATCCTACAGTATCAAGAATTTACTCATTTATTCAATGACAATCATGTCATCATCTTCTGGAACATCATCATAACAATCCAATTCCTGAATTTCCTGGTGAATTTCTTGTGACTCCATTTCTTTTAGAATCAGTGGACTAAATCTCTCATGTTTAGCCTAGGGGGGCCTTATTTTCGGGGGAATGTCTTATATTTCACTCAGAAGGAAACCTATAAGTATGTCTTATTTTCGGAGGATGTCTTATTTTCGGGGAAATATGGTATAT